CGGCCTCCTTCGAAGCTGCTGGGCCTCGCGCCGAGGTTGCGGAAGGACGACTTATACATGGCGTCCTTCCCGTCGAGAGAAAACCTCGGATACTGATTCAGCGCATTCCGCGCGGACCTCAAGATGTCGGAGTTGTTCACGCACGACATCCTCCGGTGGACCTCGCTGTAGTCGTCGAGCTGCTCCCTCCTCGCAGCCTCTTCTTCCATGTCCAGCTGCAAGATCATCTGCTCCAGCGTCAGAGGGGTTGCTGTCGCGTTACTTTCCTCCAAGTAGGAGCCCTCGACGGATGGCGCAGCGACGCAGGACACGTCCGGTTCGGCCTTCTTCTGCCTCAGGGTCGATGTGGAGCTGACGCCATGGCAGAAGTTCCTGAACCCTTTCTTCATCCTGGACGCGAGGGAGTTCTTGAGAAGGAACAGGGAGAGATCCTTCATGAAAAGCAAAGGGAGAAGATGGGGAGAAACGGTGATGGATTCCGGCCATTAAAAGGAGTGGCAACCTAACTCCAAGCGTGAACGGAGTGAATGGAGAGGTGGGCTGGCAAAGGTGTTGTAATGGCGATCACATGAGGAAAGATGAGCTTTCACAAGTCTCTTCTTCATCTGACCATGCCTTGGCGATCCAAGGTTGTACCGTAATGGCTGTCACATTTCTGGTATCTCCTCGAATTATTAGGCCATTGCTGTTCCTCTACATCGATAGCGTCCAAGGCATCAACAGCATCCTCATCTTCGCAGAGCCGGTGCTTCCATTTGGTTTGGGTTTGATTCGAATCCAGTCGGCCAAACTTTACGATTGGTTCGAGTTGCATTGCATTTTTTGGAATGATGGATCGACACAATGATCAACCCATCCCAATGTGATTTGACATTATGGATATTAGTACCCAAATAATTTGACGAAGAAACATTTACGTAATATAAGCAATACAAATTGAGGAAGCACACCTCTCATCATATCCAACCACATACATAACCAGTAAGCAGGCTTCTCAAACCCAAAAAACATCACAGCCTGCACTACAGCAGCAAATCATCAAACATATATATATGTATATATATATATACAGACACACAAATTACACAGCGACGCAGAACGGAAGCATGGATGGCAGCTTATGAGCACCGTCTCATCTACCGGCTGCGGCAAAAGCCTTGTCCTCAGATTCCAGGGTGAGTCTAGCAGCAGCATGCACAGGTAGGTTTGGGTTAAATGGAGCTTTCTCTGCAAGCTCATCAGGTACGGGAACAGGCGTTCTTGTGTAGGTGAAGGAGAGATCCTTGTTTGCAGCCAAGGCAAGGAGCTCCGTCTCCTCCAGCCCCTTGGCTGGCCCAAGACTGCATCTTTCGGTGATGTGCTTCGCCAAAGCATCCTTAAATTTCTTGATCTGTTTGCGAAGCAGGAAACAGTGATTCAGAACAAGTGATCGGGTTGTGTTCGACATGGAAAGAATGGGATTTGGATCTTACGGTTGCATTGGTGCAGCTGAAGCTGCACAGGCGACCGTGCGCTCCGCGATAGAACCTAAAGAAGGGGAGAACATGGACATTCAAGCTGTAGCACATGGACTTGTGTTCCTCGTGGTTTAGTTGGAGAAATTGAACGTCTGGATTCAACTCTGCGAATTGGCAGATCTTTGGGTGGAGGGCTCTGCAGCCTGCACATCCTGGGGAGAAGAAATCCACGATGACGAGCTTGTCGCCCGCGTTCGACAAGGAGTCGACGAGATCCTCAGCCGACTTGATGTCCTTCATATTGGGATGAAGCCCCTTCTCCCACCATTTCGAAGCCTTCTTAAAGGACAGAGTCATCTGCAATCAAAATCATACAGAAATCAGGAAATCAGCACGAAAACACGAAGATCTAAAGAATTTCGAGAACCTAAAACAATAAAGATCCAAAAACCATCTTTTACTTCAACAAACAGAGCACGAAAGATCAAAAGTGTGAACTTTTGGGCCGAAACTTGAACAGGGGATATTAGGAAGAAACCTCCTAAAAGCCGCAAAAGATCAAAACTTTAGCACATAAAAGTACAAACAAGCATGGCCATGAAGAAGGAAAAACAGAAAAGTTAGGATTTTGTAGATTTTGGTCACCTGCACAGAGCTAGAACCTCGGTTGCCTCTCAACGGCCTCTCTCTCTGTGCGCCAATAACCAGCCTTCTCCCATGGAACTGGCTATTACAAGAAGACGAAGACCTCAAGAGATCATCCTTTGACGCACAAACAAGGCGGTTTCTCCGGTCGGAAGAGCGCGACAAAGAACGGTGGCCATGGGGCGAAAGGAGCGTCATTTGAGCCAAAGCATCCGCCATGGATTCCAAAGGTCCAAGCTTTTTCCCCTCTCCGAACGAGATCACACGAACGCGAGATCCAAACTAATAGAAATTCCAGAGGTTTAGATTGGGGTTTGCGACGAGGCAAGGGAGGAAGAAAGGGGGTGGGGGGAGGGGGAACGGAAAAAGGGTCCCAAAGACCCCGTCAGTTGCGCTACAAAAAGGATCGGGGGGAGGACAAAAGGTACGCCGTTTTATAACGTCCGTTCCGTTCCTTTGATTCCCGTAGTGAATCTCTTCCGTCGATCGATGTGGTGGGTCCGGGACGGCTGATACCTACGGTGATGATGAGCGCGACGTGGACTCAGCGGTTCCGCCACGTTTAAACCCCGCCTCGTTTCAAAGAAGGGATAAGCTTTGGATAAGGCCGAACGCACCTGAGGCGCGATAATTTATGACGCCCAGATTGCTGACCCAAAACCACGCCCATGGTCTTTGGTGCTGGTTTTAGTGTGGGACCCGCCACCAAGATATCCGCCCCTGGACTTGAACTTCCCCACCCCCCGGCGCCCCCCTGTCTACCTGTCTTGTGAACGGCGCGCGCGGAGGGTTCCACACATGGCGCAGTACACCTCATATTTCCTCGGGGAAGGTAAAAGAGGCGTGTGGTCCCGAATCAATCGCTCGCGCTCCAATTTGTGCGACTTGTGGGTCCGACCACAGCAATGTTTAGGAAACTGAGAGATTTATCCGCAAAAAATCTATTAATTCGCTTGTCAATTAATTTACAGGGCTGCCTTCTAATGTAAATTCCAATCTTATTCTTAGATTCTAAAGCAAATATGTTTTTCTATTAAAATTTGCTAAAACAATTCGAATTAGTAAATTGATTCAGGTCAAAATTCACGAATTCGAGCGTCCCTTTCTCCTCCTCTTCGTCTTCCTCGAAACGAGACCCTTTCTTTCTTTTGACACGTGCTTCTTAAGCCTATTCTCGAGTCCATGTTTTGATGACGTTCGCTCGGGCATCTCTTCGGCCGCTGCCCTGAGGTCTTCGTCACCGTGACATGGAGTGTCTTCTCCGTCCTCGCTGATCTCTTTTTCCCGTGCCTTCCAAGAGACAGACACTGCTGCGCGTACAGTGACGCTGGAAGGAAGAGACCTCCAAGTCTTCGCCTACCTCATGAATCAACAAATGGATGCCTTGCATTGCTCGAGACATCATCTTAGCAGTTCCACATCGAGCTATTCCTATGCTGCTGCAGTCATCGATGACCAGCTTTACGACTTCACCCCAAGCTATTCCAAGAGACGGATCAGGATTTCCATGTGTCGGTGCTCTTTGCGACTCCGGAATCAACCATGATCGAACACCTCATTTTCGCTTTCTTGTTCCTTTAGTTTCTTGTCCGGGCGGTGTCTCAGCTGTAGCCCACACCTCGCATGGAATCTGATTGACTGGATGGTCAACAAATGCCAATTGAACTCCTTGGTATGAGCCCATATGTGGATCGACCCGGCGATATTGGTCAAGAATTAGGGTTCCAAGGTTATGCATGGTGAGGTCCACACGTAAAAGTAGAAAGAAGATTACAGGAAAAAGTGAGCAAGAGAGAGAAAGAAAAGATGGTTTCACAAAACTCTTCGTCTAGCCTTATCCACCCCTATATGGAAGAAAGATTAAGATGGCATCTTACCATAAGTACAGATATAACAATGTTCATACTTTAAGCTAATCTAATCTGTTAGTATACACCTCCATCTTGTTTCAAGATTTGGAGAAAACACATCAGGATTCTTCTGAGATATGGATAGTCTCCATATTTATCTTTGTGACCCCACTCCATCCTCAGCACCTCAGCATACATCACCATCTGGTTTCGTGGCAAATATAGAGGAAATGCTCCTCCCGGATTCTCTCTCTCTCTCTCCCTCTTCTTTCTTTGCAGTGTTGCTTTTGGATTCTTCTGGCGTGCAGTCCAGAGATCGGCGAGGACTGCTGAAGAGAAAATCCAAGCAGGCGGTGGGATCACTGCACACTCGATCGGTTGGGGAGACAGCATCGACATGGCGGATAAGATGAGCACGTCGATGATGAGCTCAGCTGATCAACCAGAAAATAACGGAAGCTAAGATTTGCTCGTCTTGCTCTGCGACATCCGGATAGGTGTCGGCTCCTTATTGCAGTGCAAGGTCTGGTTTCGCGTCCAAGATTACGATGGATGGATTCGAGGACCAGAGCTGTAGCTTGCAGGACTCATTCATGGATATTTAGCAGCTTAGACTCGTGGTGTCTTAGTATCTTTCTCATTAGATCGACAGGCCAATGCTGTGGATGATGAGATCACAATTAGCGAGGTTGTCGGAATAAGAATATTACCTACGGTTTCTTCCCCGGGTTTCGATGCATGAAAGGTGGGTTATGGCGGAAACGCCGGTGATTCTCCTCACACCAAGTCTCTGAGAGGAACCGAAACGCTTTCCTTTGAATGGAAAGCAAGCTATTAGCTGAAGCAAATCACTCACATTAATAGAAATCCCCCTCCACTTGCACCTTATCCCCTCCCTCCCTCTCTCTCATCAGCTTTAACTGAATTCTATAAACCCTCTTCTTGCTGACACACTCTCAGTAGTTGGTCATCGTGTCCCTTTTAATCTTTCTTTCAATGACTGTAACCCCATAAAGGAAGATTGTAAGTTGATGAGATTTCCTCAACATGCATTCAAGATGGCATATAAAGAAAATTTCCAGTAGAATTCACATATACAAAACAATAATACTTTAATTACATTAGTCCTCACACGTTTTGTTTCTCGATGGTAGATTTAATCTGCTTGTGCGACAGACAGTAAGGCGTATACATCTGGTAATCAAATCTAATACGCAATGTGAGACGAAGAAGGACTGCTAACACCATCGTAACGTATCGAATGCATCGATCTCAAAGTGTTCAGTACTGCCAGAAGTTCTCCAGATCAAAACCTGGTACGGTCGAGGAAGGGTCGCCGAGCTCATCGTAGTGCTTCGACGGCACCGAGGAGATCTCCGTGTTGTGGTCGGTGCTCAGCCCGGTTTCCTGCGAATGACAGCCCACCGAGTGGTTCGAGCTCTGCTCCACCTTGCAGTGCCTCGTGATGGCAGATGGTGCGTCGTTTTCGGCAGCAGCTAAAGCTCCCAGCATCGCCCCCTCCTGGTGCAAGTAGCTCAAGTTCATCGATCCCAAGAACGAGTAGGAAGAGCTGTCGGGTAAATCTGGACCAACTTGATAGTAATCAACTCCCATCATGGACGAGAAGCTTGCATGGACATCCTGGAAGTTGAGGCTATCATCTTTGTTGCTGAAACTCGAACCAGGCCTGGTGGCAGAATCGAGGCAGGGGGGATCCATGAGAGGAGGTAATGCAGTGGAGTCCAAGAAATCATCTCCCAAGGAGTCGATCCTCTCCAAGGCAGGCAGTGTGCTTTTCTTGAGTAGTCCTGTATCCTTGTGGAAGACCTTACACACAACCCATTCATCCTGCGATCGTAGAGGTAAGATTCCTTTTACTGACACATACAACAGTAGGACATTACCAGAGATGAACAGTTAAAAGTGGCTGTGCACTAACAGAGACGAACAGTACCTTTGCAGACTTGGGAAGATTGGGGATTAATGTGGAAGTGCCTTCAAGCCTGTATTCATGCATCACCCAATTCGTTTTCTCTCCCTTGGGTGCTCTTCCTCTATAGAACACAAGGGTCTTCTTCATGCCAACGACGACTCCTCGCCCCTTAAGAATCTCCTTATCCTTTCCCGTGGCTTTCCAGAACCCAGTTTCGGTGGCTCTGTTGGTCCTCGTGCCGGTTGGATACTTCCTGTCCTTCTGGCAGAAGAAGAACCATTCCTTCTCTCCCATCTTTGCATTGCCTATTATGCAAACCACAGCAGGACCCCCGGCCCAAAAGATTAAGGACTCCGGCCACCCAAAAAAGGGATTCAGACATCAACAGATCAAAGAAGAAGCGTACGTACTTGGAAGATCCCACGGCTCACACCTGTTGAGATCCACCTCTCCCATAGCGGTTGCACTGAAGCTGTGGTCGACGACCTTTGGTGAGAGGTAATGGGTTATGACCTCTTCATCCGTGGGGTGGAATCTGAATCCAGGGGGCAAGTTCATGCACTCCTCCTCCTCTTTGCTGACCACGGAGACATCAGCCATGGTTGCACCTCTAGACACAAAGCAAAGAAGGCGTGAAACATATGCATCCAATACCAGGTTGGAGACCCAAGAAAGGAGAACAAAGCAGGAGATGGAAAGGAGAAGTGTACCAAGGCGTGTTGTGTGGACCTGAGAAAGTAGAGGATGTATGGAAGCGAGAGAATCCACATAAATAGCGGGGTTCGGTTCCTAAAAGCCTAACATACGTGCTGCGCAAGTCACTTGTAGGAGAAGCCTCCAATCTATATTCAAACGCTGCACCACTTGGTTGTTTTTACTGCCCAAATTACCTTATGTTGTACTGAGATTCTACCAACCTTAGCTTTCATCCCGAGCTATATCGACAGGATGGATTCACTGCTGAACGACAGACGGCAACATAACCATGTGGCATTCCACTGGTTGTCTTCTTCTGCGTGTAGACTCAGCCACTTGCAAGGATAAATTTGTCGAAGCTGGTCCGTGCCGTGGACTGGCACACTGATCTTGTGAAGGCAATAATGGTGCGGAAGTTATCACCGTGAGTCAAAGAGCAGACGGGTGAGGGTTCATGCAAGCCTTGTTCGGAGCTTGGAGTCATCATCCCATTCGCCATGCAAGCCTTGACAACCCCGCCATGGGTCCCTTGCCACCTTCCCCATGCTGAGCCGGAAGTGAGGAGGCCTCCGACGTGTACGATCGCTACGCCACCCTACCATGTGTGTTACTGAGCGATTAGCACTAGAAAATTACAGAAGGAGAAGAAACCGCGTGGGGCCCTTAAGAGGAAGGAAGGAAGTCGCCGACTCCTTCGTTGGTCACCTGTTGCTTTACGTCGTGGAAGGTGTGGTGATGTGACTCGGAGAGAGTTTCACTGACTGGATAATGGGAAAAGGGAGTTGAGTAACACACCTCCATAAATGATCGAAAATGATGCCATGGAGACGCATTATTGGATGAGTCATGTGCTCATTATCTTTGTACTACAATAATAATAACACAAGTTTCAACTTAATTATCGTTGATTTAACATAATCTTTCATCTTGGCTTAAGATTATAGATCGTTAATACAGTGTCAATTTCGAAGCCCATAGATGGCTAATATTAGGAGGCTTCGATTAGAAGGACGAGCATCAATCACTGAATCAATCCATCATATATATATTATCAACAGGCCATCGTAATAGATGCAAACTATATATATATATATATTTATTACAGTAGATTGACCATGTCACACAACTCCAGCAACATAGCACAGGTTGCACAGAGCCAAATTACATCTTATTCGAGCTGGCCTGCGTATTATATGGAATATATATCGCCCAGTAAATGCTCAGCAGCAGACGTTCCATCGCATTGTTCCTGCATCACAAGATGTACAGGTTTACATGGGCATGCATGTCAGAAATCTAAGAAGAAGCCGGAGATTTAGGAGAACTCACACTGGGGGACGATCTTCCACCTCTGGTTGTCCCCTTTGAGCCACTCCCACAGCACCACAGTGGTTCCATCTCGGACTCCTCCATGGTCTTTGTCCCCGTGGAAGGCATCAAAGTTCAATCGGATGTTGTTCACCATCCTGATGCATCGGTAGCCGCGACCGGTGTCGTTGCTCTCGGACCACAGGATCGACTCGTCCAGGTAATCCGGGTTGTAAGGGATCAGCCGAACCTGCAAGGGATCGTCGATGAGACGATGAATTCTCGGAGGACCACCAGAGCAGCATGCGGCAGACGATGACTCACAGGATTCTTAGCTCCGGTGGAGTGCTTGATGGCTTCGCCGGTCACCTTGTTGACGAGAGCAAAGCTCGGGAAGCCTTCCTCGTCCTTCACCTGGTTGCTGTACCTCATGTCCTTGTACCAGTGCTGCAGTGCAGTCCACAAGCAACAGAATAAGAGAGAGAGAGAGAGAGAGAGAGAGAGAGGGAGAGTCGATACATGGAGAGTGGACATGAGTCCTTCTTGCCTGGTAGTCGTCCTGGGGATCATTGGGGGCGAGGATGACGTCGCCGTCACGGATGGAGAGGGAGTAATTGGGCTCGGCCTTGGTGTAGATCCTGACGGTGCGCGGCGGCGGCGGCCGGCCTCCGAGGTAGTCGTAGGAGGCAGGAGGAGGGTTGGAGACCTGCTCCTCCCGGTGGTAGTGGCGGAAGAAGCGTGACATCGTCGTCGTCTCTGGAATGGTGTCCTCGACGCCCATGCCATGGCGTTTTATAGGCGACGCGAAGGGTGGGAAAGCAAACCCGATAGACCAACTTTGCCTGCCATCCCTGCAAAGCTTCAAATGAAATAATATTTATTTTATTATGCTTAATATTAAGTTATAGATACAAACAATTGACACGGAATTAAGTTCTATAAACAGAGGAAAAAAATAATATTATTTTTAATTTTATTGGTGTTAGGATTTTTCTTTTTTCTCCTCTCTTATATTTTTGATTCTATAGCTCAATATTATTCGAATCAATAATGGCGGATTGCTCGTCTCTATCCATTCCCATAGTGGTCCATTAAATCTACCGAAAACCTGCGTCGGCTCACTGAGACCGTTCTTTTACTTCTCACGCACAAAGAATTCCTGTGAAATCTTTTTAGAAGAAGAAGAAGAAATATACGAAAAACATGGGGAGAGAGAATCTTATCTTCTCATATCGGACATCGGAGAGAAGGAAAGATTGGACTAAAGACAAGATTCCATCTTGTTTTCCTACCTTTCTTTTGTTCGATTTCCTCACACACTGTGTCATGGGAAGAGAGAGAGAGAGAGATGGATGTGTCCCTCATGGCATCGGATCCATATTCGAGCACTATAGCTACAACTTTGACGTCCACGAAATAAAAGGCATAGAATCGAATTAACCTTCCACTTTAAACCTTTCACTTCTTCTCATATCAATCACTGCATTATTCTTTTACGAAAAGAAAGAAACTCATTTTTCCTATCTTCAAGGATATATGAGAATTTCTATTTAACTTGTGCTCTTACAGATTTTGTAGATACTGAATCTTGATTTAAAGTATGAGTTCTTGTTGATGAAAACCTCCTTATTAGTAAATTTAGTTACATCCGGTTATAGATGTTTTCTTTTACAATTATATTAATAAATTATAATTTATGACGATGGATGGCACGAAATGTCTGATTTCGTATGAACGGCAGATAATGATACCTAAATATATCCCCTTTTCAATTTTTTTATCTAAACATAATTACAGTGAAAACTAGTGACCTCGAGTTGTAACGTCGAGCAAGCAATTGCATTAAACAAGAGAATATAAGAAATGAAAATCATACACATCTTCGACACACCACAAAGCACAAAAATAACATGAGTATATACTGTGTTTCATAGTCTGCTAAACATTAAGGTAGAATACACTGTATCTGTCTGTCTTCAGAATATAAATACAAATAGGCACACTCAGCAAAAGGGTGCACCAAATGCCAACCCCACAGCTTCACCAACATGAAAAGCTTGCTCGAACAGGGAATCACAAGCTCACCTCTATGGCAACTTATTCGCAAACTAAAACGATGGTGCCAAATAAGCAGGTAAAGATCGGGACACCCTCGCGTTTCTCCTGCATGCAAATGATGGAAAAGATAAGATCACCGGAATGGATATTGAACTCAAAAGATGCCTGCTTATCTGATGCATATTAGAATAACTGGTGTTTCAAGACAACATCCCACTTGGTTCCCTTCTATTGGATCCAAGAGTGATAACGAAGTGCACAGTTTCATGTAACTAGTAAGAAGGAGCGACTAGCTTCAGCAGAGTATAATATTAATGACCGGCCCATATGTATAAACCAAATGCTTCAGATAGAAACAAGAGTCTGAGATTCGATATGATGCAGTGTGGTGTAGCACTCACTAGTCAATGGCACTTCAAGTGCCATCTTGTTAGCATAATGAAAGGGCGATGGGGTATTTACAATTTTCAACTTTGTTCTTGTTCCTCGTCCTCTCTTTTTGGTTTCTTTCTCCTTACCGAGTCTTGCCTGCCGCTGCCTCTGAGCGTACCACGCGCATGCCATTTCTTCTCGACAACCCAAGTCACCAGCTGCTCCTAAGCATACAAAAGTAGAATAGCACTCTGCGGCATTGTGTTCCTTCACCGAAGTAGCCTAAATGTTCGGTATCTCTTGCAATATCAAGATAGACTACACCATGGCATGCTTATGGATGAATTTGCAGTTTGACAATCACATAAGTTTGCCATTCGATGATAATTCACCATTTGCTTTGCATAAGATGCCTTCCCCCTTTCTCTCCAATCTATGCTAGTTTAGTGCACTTCACCATATCAATCCTCATCTCAGATCTACATAACCAGTGGCTGCTAGGCATATACCAGATGAAGATCCTCATCAAATAAATTTAAATTGCTTAGTGTCTTTGTACCATAAAGAGGCCGCCTAAACTAAAAGCTATGAGAATTTACCGAACCAACTCTTCAAGACTTCTTACAAATGCAACTCAAAATGTAATATCTCAGACAGTCTTCTTTCTTCCATTCACCAATTCACCTCCATTCATGTCTTCCCCATTAACGGTAGTTATCTCCTTATCTCTACTAACTAAAGCAAATGACAGGATTCGGTATTTATTGAATGACAAAAAGAAAACAATTTACTAAGAGAGTGAATCATATACAATGACTTACAGTAAGGAACAATCTTCCACCTCTGGTTATCACCCTTGAGCCATTCCCAGAGCACGAGAATGGTTCCGTCTCGGACTCCTCCATGGTCCTTGTCTCCATGGAAAGCATCAAAGTTCAAACGGATGTTGTTAACCATTCTTATGCATCGGAAGCCCTCCCCCGTGTCCCTGCTCTCAGCCCACAGGACTGACTCATCAAGATAGTCTGGATTGTATGGAACCAGCCGAACCTGCAATGAGTGTGAAAGAATCGCAAGACAAGATGAGGATAGGGAATAGAGAGAACATAAATTAGATTAGATTCTGCGCACAGATAAGTAGATAGATCAGTGCCTACAGTCTAATAAAAGACCCGAGGGAAGTAAACAATCGTTTAAAAGACTAGCAGAAGAAAAGTAGCTGGTTTGTTTATGATCTCTTAGCAGGATCTCAGCAGGGCTACTCCTTACGCAAAAGAGATGGTTTTAGGATTCAATTTCATGATCCAAACACTTGCATTGAGAATATTTAGCTACACGGATTAGGCTAAACTCACCGGATGGGTTGCTCCAATGGAGTGCTTCAGAGCTTCTCCAGTGACTTTATTGATGAGGGCAAAACTTGGGAAGCCCTCTTCGTCTTTCACCTTCGTGCTGTAACTCAAGTCTTTGATCCAGTGCTACGAACCAAAACAAAAACAGGAGAAGATGTGCAAAAAAAATCCAAGTTTTACGCCCAAAAGATGTGGAATTTTGAAGGAAGAACCAAAAAAATTTGCAACTTGGTTTAGGATCTGTACCTGGTAGTCGTCGCTAGGATCGTTGGGGGCGAGTATCACCTTCCCATCCCTGATCGAAAGGGAGTAGTTCTCCTCTGCTTTAGTGAAGATCCTCACGGTAGGCTGGCGAGGCCGCGAGGGCTCCTCCGCCCATCCCTCGTGGCCGCCTAAGTGGTGGGTTCCCGAGGAATACGGGGGGCGATGGTGGTGGAAGTGTTCGCCGCCACCCCCGCCGTAGTAGCCGGGAGCGGGAGGGCAAGGGTTGGGCTGGTCGAACCCGGGTCCGCCCTCGTGTGACACGTGCTGGACAGGCGGGTAGGCGGGCCGGCCGTACTCCTCGCCGCCGCCGCCGCTAAAGAAGGAGGATGGTGGGGGCGCCTGGCCGTCGTCGTGGTGGTGGCCGGGTGGGGGGTAGCGGTGCTCCTCCCGCTCCTCCTCCTCCTCGCGGCGGTGATGGTGGTGGTCGGGTGGGGGGTAGCGGTGCTCCTCCCGCTCCTCCTCCTCCTCGCGTCGGTGATGGTGGTGACCGTGGTGCCCGAAGGGGAATTCCATGTGGGTCGAATCAATTTACTCGATCCGAACACGATGCTGGGATCCGCTATATCGACGCGTGCGACGGTGGGCCGAATGATGTGGTGAGATGAGATATCCACGGCACGGCAGGAAACATCATTATTTTAGTGGGACCCACACGGAAAAGACAGCTGGTCTCTTGCGGACGCGACTCCCGTCCAGAGCTCGATCACCCTTCGGGGGGGACCAAGCCGGGCGGCGATGGGAGCCGGTGTTCCTGTGTTTGGTGCTCGGCCAGTACATGGGATGTGCCACATCGACGGTGGCTGGAAGAACGCGGTGAAATATCTCCCGGCACGACCGGAAAAATATTATCGAGTGGGACCCACACGGAGAAGACAGTTGGCGTCGTCGCGAGGAGCAAGCTGGCGAGCGGTGGGAGCCGGTATTCCCGCGGTCGGTGCCTCGGCCGATACGCAGGATCTTCGTCCGTGTCACAAAGGAGCCTTCTGGAATTGGGACTATTCGATCGAACGTGATGAACTCGAGTCGCACGAGCGTCGTGATTACGTGAAGGGAGAAATATTAGGCTGTAAACATAATTAATACCGCACGCTTAACATGACATCTGTCAATTATTTTTACCATTAATTATATATCGTAATTATTTTTGAAGATTCGAAAGGCATCAGCTATTATTTTTGTTGAATCAAACAACACATCTCCTCGTAGGTTGGCATTAATTCGACGTATGTGATAGGTCAGCCACCACATGTAAGTCAAGTCCTCACATGATGATGACGTACTCTTTAGTCAGACTATCGACCACATGTCGATTTGTCAACGTTATTGATGATATGAAATTAGAGATCAGATTCTATCTAGTAGGGTTCTTCGTTTGTGTTTCCCATGGCTGAGACCATCACTTTTTTATCTGATTAGTTTAAATTATTTTTTTTAACGCATATTATAATAATATTGGGGCTGATTGATTTAGATATCAATGTGATTTTTCTAGTCTTCTGGGTAGAGGTAATTTGGCTACCTCTTGATGAATGAATTGTTAGGTGGTCCAAAATAATCGTTGTAGACCCAAAGAAAAGAAAGGTCGATCCAAACGTAAAGATTTCATCATAGGAGAATAAATTGTGAATTATTAGAAGGTTTATTCAAGTTTGTTCTCTATGATTTTTGGATACGTTATTCTTCACATCTCTATTGGTGAGATTTTACTTTTCTCTTTGGTTTATTATTAAGTGGTAATTTGCTAAAAATTATATTCTTTATGATGTTTTAGTTAATCTAAAGAGTGATATTGGCTAAATTTTATCTAACCTTCCTCGTAAGTTTGGCTTCACGCGAAAGAATGTTTTTTAATGTATATTTGTTTCTTGTGGTCTGTAATCTTTTATCTCATTATTTTATAACTTATATATGATATTTAATATTAGTGTATCCTCTTTAATTTATAGAAAAATAGAAAAATGATGATTTATTACTTCTATGCATAGGCATCTTTTTCCAAAATAAATTGATATGATATAAATGAAATGGAGTCATCAAACACAAAAGGATTCCATACTCATATACATATACCATAATGATTGAGGATTATAATATATAAGAAATATTAAGTTTTTATTCCATATTTATTTTTATCATGCTTCCGTAAGATTTAGCTCAAGAATATCGACTTGAAATAGCTTATGAACGAGAGGCTTTCTGGAGTCAACTAGTTTATCAAAAGTACAGACGAGAGAAATATGTAGTTGATGCTTGATAACTTAATCTCCCACGAAGTAAAAATATATGACAATGTATTTTATACAAGAGTGAAACGTCAAGTTAGAGTTGAGCAGGAGGTAATACTATGTTCGTGTAACAGATTGCTGATCTAATTGAGTTCTACAATGGTGGTAGCGATGGCTCGGTATTCAGATTTGGTGATGAATCTTGTGATTATAATTTATTTCTAAAAACTCTAATTAATCATGTTTGTTCTAAAAAAATAATATAGGCTAATATAGATATTATATCATTAGTATCGACAAAGGCATGAAGATGAAAAAATAAGTGTTTATGAGAAAAAAATCTATCATTGAAGGTCCCTTTAATACATCACAAGATAAATTTTAATGTTGAACAATGCATATTGGAGGGTCAATATATGAATTATAATAATTTATTAATTATAAATAAAATATTTAAAAGTGTAAGAGATAAATATTATAACGAACAAAATACTTATTGTTATTATGTATGATCTATAGTAGGATTATCACAGTATAATTTTAGTGACTCAAGCTAAGTTCTTCATGGAATTTTAGTACGGTTGGCCTCTTCGCCAGGATTATTAAAAACGAAAATACAAAATGTTAAAGTATTTTGTTCACCATGGAATACTTAGGCAACGCAAGCTAAGTTCGCGCCTTTGCCGCAAAGGTGCCTCACGCCTTAGGCAATTCCAACTAAGGCCGTGACAATGTGGTATTGTGGAGTATATTCCTAACACATAAATTTATATTGGTGTAAAGAATTTTGGGTTTGGATAATACTTATGGGTTCAATAGGGTCAGGAGTTTGTGATAGTATATTAAGGATTTGGCATGATTTAAAAATATTATTTTTTAAACATGTCACGTGATATTTAAGTTCAACGATATTTTTGAGTTATGTTGATAGGATGAGAATTGATAAAGAGTTAGTGAGATGTATCTAATTAGGCAAATATATTTCGGTATCACTTAGCTGAAAAGAGAACAAAAATAGTATTTATGTGCCAAGAGCATTAACTTTATCGGATGTTGTAGAGCGAGTTGGTAGAGAGGTGGATGAAAAAATTACAGAAAAAATGAGGTGTTGTAGAGTAATAAGTGAATACAATTCTAACGGAGATCTGTTAGTTGATATGATAAGAGATCTGCTTAAATGGGTTTGAGGTGTATTTATATAAACCCAATGATAAATGGTTGCTGTAATGACTCATTTTTCTAAAGCAAGATTTTGAAAATAAAAAAATATAATATAATACAAAGACCTTATGCATTTAAGGATTAAAACATCAAAAAATATTATATTTAAGAGAGTATCCAATGAGAATGCATAGTATGAATGTTAGTGTTACCTTGTGTGAAGCGAAGGGGTGTATCCAAGGTTAATATAAGTAACCAAATATTTAAAGTTTTTGAATATTTTGAGTTCAATGAAATGATCATTCAAACGATGACTAGTGTTGTAGGAATGTTATGAGTATGCAATTAATGGGGTAAACTGTAATTTAAAATATTGCTAACCAAAAGATCAGTGATATGAAAGCTTGGTGGAGGAGGGTGAGACTAGTTTCAAACATGTGTCATTGCTTTCGTTCAGCAATGCCAACTAATTAACGTGTATGCGTGGTGACTTAAGATGTTATATATTAAATGATAAAAGGTAAGTTATTAGAGCTTCATATTCACCTCATTTTTTTAAATAAAGTGTTTGAATAGTAAACTAAAAAAAGTCTTGATAACCTTTCTAAAACAAGTAAAAAAATATAATAATTTCAAATTTATGTTTGTAAGAATAAAGTCATACATATTTAGTGGAATAATTTATGAAAATAACATAGAGTAGGGCCCAAGCATTAGTATAAATAATTTCAAATAATTTAGAATAAGATATGTAAGATGTTTTAAAATATAGCATGCAACTTTTATTAATAAGGCAAGCATCACAATGAGTAGCAATTTTACTTGATTTAAAAGTTCGAAGGGATTAACGAAAAATTAATTACTATTAAATGGAAAATAACGGATAACCAAAATAGTGATGCCACATATTTGTTGGGTTAGTAATTAAAGCAAGATCGATTGGTTGAGTAATTTATGAAGTTGACGATTACTCGTATATATTATTTTTATTCTGGTTTCAGACCAATGATGCCCTCGGGCTCAGTTTCGTTCCAAATGACATATTCTTTTATTGGAAGTATTCTTTTATTTGTATTAAGAGATAGAAATAAGGTTCGTTTTGATGTGAGATACACATAATATATCATCAAGTGTAAAAGTATTTATGTATGAATTATGTGTTATGGAACTAGTATGAATAATAGGGATTCTATTACCATTACCAATGTTAAGGTTTTCATTGCCTTCATAGTCTATATGGATGAATAAATTCTACATATTAGAAGTGATATGATGAAAAACACTGAGTCGACAATTCAATTGATTTGATGAATAGTTGAAATAATTGTGATGTTTACTTGAGGCAAATTAAGTCTAATAGTATGCTTGGGTTAAGATCGATGTGTGTCCAATTTTATCAAGTAATTAGTAAATATCTTTTTATTGATTGTTATTATTGGAATGCTAGAACTACTAATAGTTATAGTGATTATTATGATTGAAGTTATTTTTTTAATTGTTTGAGTTAAAGTTGCCACCATAGTTGGAGAGTTAATAGTATAATGGAAGATGATGACCCTACATATTACCCATGTATCTAGGAGGTATCTTGTTTAGTCATTTAATTAAAATTATTATTACTTTAATTATTCTTTTCTTTGGATATTAGATTGAATTGAGTTATGATAACTGATCCCGTCTTCCACTCTTTTCGTTTCAAATACATTTCACAATCAATCAACTTATTATACGATTCTTTAAATAACATTACTGAGTCTCATATCTGAATTACTTTCGACAATTCCTTATATTCGCCTTCTAAGATGTTGAGAGTATGAACGATGAGTTTTTCATCACTAAGGGATGATCTATTAAAGCCAAGTCATTTATAATAACTTTTAGATATTACATATATCTAAAAATAGTATTTTCCTTCTTAGGTTATTTTGATTAGAGTAGATAAAAGACTTAGCATGAGAGTAATTAACAAAGATGATTTATAACTAAGACCATGCTTTGCTACAGTATTATATGAAGAGATTAGTGGTACTATATAGCCAATAATTAAGACTTGAATGGCTTGCAAAATAAGATGATCTTGATGGAATCACAATTTATGATTATGATTTTTCATTAAGATTGGTTCTCTTGATATTTGAATATTTTCAATTGGACAATTAAGAGAACCATTAATGTAGCCTAGTAGATTATATCTAAAGCGAAGGTTGATGAAGTATGCTTGTCAAGATGCATAATTATTGCCTTTGGATGCCTGAAAGGAATTAGAGTGACTACATTATCGATTATTGTTGATATTTGGAGGAAAAGATTGGATAAAGTATATCAAACTACTGAATTGTCACCTTTTGGTCAAATTCAATAAACAGATAAGATCTAATAGATAAGTGGTCTTTATTATCTATAGTCTAATCTTATTAGATTTGATAAGGTGGAACATATCTGATCGGAGGGATGCAACCATTATGGAGCGATCTGGACTAGATAAGTCACAATGAGAGATCACGACGGGAAATCATATAAAAAAGAATTACGCAAGGAGGGATGTAGCCTTTCTTTGATCGTGTATGTGTTAGAGTAAAGTAGAATAGGTTATTGTTTTCGTAGAGATGAGGAGGAATCACTAATTGGGAGAAGGTGCCAATGAGAAAGATGAATTACTAATGCCAAGCAGATAAATAAGAACAAGGGAGTGAGGGCCGCTATCGCCTAGGCAAACGAAGGAGTCGTCGGGGCAGATCAACGATTAAGCTTCAACAAGGAAATTGATCCCTTACAATTAGAAGAGGGGTAAAGAGAGGAAGAAAACCTTCCTCGGAAGCAATGGAGCTCTAATACCATAAAGAGTTTACTGTGAAAAAAAATAATACATGTTTATAAGGGAGAGATTTATTTCAATCATGTGCTTAAATTATATATAAATATTATGATAATTGATCTTTAAATCATAAATTGATTAAGAATTAAAAAATATAAAATTATCATTCTATACTTGTCCCTATCATAATAGTCAATCATATACCACCACAGTTTTAAAACTGGAATAGACTATGACGATTTGGATAAAAGTTTGAGTAAGACGTGATGCCAATCACTTGGTATGTGAGCTGTGGAAATAATAAAATAGATGAACGGTTGCTCAAATTAATGGCCACAAGCTACCACAGGACACAGATGAAGCCGCAACATTAATGATTTGAAGAGAGTGGCATTTGACGACGTCCAAAACTTTCTTGTGGTTCACTTTGTTTTAACATGTATAAAGCAAGTTCTAGACTCGATCTTATCGATTGTCTTCCATCATGGCATATGACCTTTTGGAAGGAATATGTTATCTTGACAAGAACCAGTAGTCACTCCTATTTTTAAGTTACATTCCAAGGCAAGCAATTAATTGCTTCACTTGCAGAGAAGATGGTTATCAGAAACAATCATCCTTCCTTCCAACCAGTGAAGACTTCTCAACTTGGAGGCATCGGAACCTGACCTTAATCAGGCATATCAGTCACATTCGAGAGGTGTTCTTGCACCTAATGATGGGTGTCAGGAATAGTCATAGCTTGCCTGCTGTGGACTCCTCTAATTGTTAGGAATTAAGTATAGTGTGTAAGAATAACGTTGATTAATGTCCATTCCACTTTATTCTCCTCCCTCTCTCTAAAACCTGTCCTTCTCTTTCAATGATTCCAATTGGATGAGGATAAGAGTTGCCTTACCTACTTTATTTGTCGTCGATGTACCACTGCCGTACATTAAACGATATCATTTACTTTGATCAAACTTATGTGGAGATGTGGGATGTTTATAGCCATGGCTGATCTTATTCAACAAGAAGAAAGTCATGTACCTAATCATGCTACATGATATCTACAAGCCAACAGCTTCAGATGATCCAGTGGATCGTCTTCAATAATCGTATTTGACTAAGTGTGATCTCCTGAAACTACTACTACATCATCATGCATGACCGCTCTGCTGAAGCCAGAGAAAGCTTCTTGAGGGGGGCAAAAATGGCGTTTCAGTACCCATTTGATCTCTTTTATGCTACTTTTGTCCTTTTCCGTTTCCTTTATTCTTCTACCACTTGTCCGATTACGATCGATGCGTCAATGTAATCCCAGCTGAGGGTTCAGCAGTATTTGCTGATTGAAGAAGCGCTGGTTGAGCAAGTTGCACTGAGTGCCGTCGAACTGGTCGGAGAACTCGGTGGTGTAGATGGTTGCGTCACTGCTGGGTTTCTTCCATGGGTGAAGGAGATCGTTCATGCCGTCTAGGTAGGACTCCGTCGTCCGCTGGCGCTTTGTAGGGTTGGCGGCAACGGGAGCAGCGGATTCTTCTCGGATTTTATACGGAGCGAACGTGTGATTGTCATTGCTGCAGTTGCTGTTATCGGCTTTGAGTTGATTCGTGCTCGGTTGGGCCATGAGCAGGGCAAGCTCGGATCCCTGCATCTCCGGTAGGTTATCGAACAGGTGCGACGGCGGGGCAGAGTAGTTCTCCAGGAAATCTGACACGGAGAAGGATTTCTGCAGCCGAAGACCGCTGGGTTGCTCCGTGTTGCGAAAGCTCGATAGGTAGATGTCCCCGGAACCGGAGTCTTCTTGTTCTTGATCCACCAGTGGCGGCACCGATTGGAGATTGTGGTTCTTCTTGTAGATGCGGCAGAGCACCCAGTCATCCAACTGCAAGACGGAATCAATGACCACGTCAAAAGACATGAATGGTGTGCGTTGAAGTTGGCATCCTTTTCGGCAGAAGCAAGCAAACAAAGAGATTGCCATCGCAATCACAGTGCGCAAGGGGAGGTTTGACTCCGTGTGCGGTATTCCTGCAAAGAGGAAATGGAGGTGAGGAGGAAGTGGCTGCTGATTACCCTCATGGAGGCGTTCTTAAACTTCATGGGCTTGTAGGTGTTGCCATGGTGAGCTTCTGCGAGGCGGTACTCGTGCATGATCCAGTTGGTCTTCCTCCCTCTCGGAGGCCGTCCCTTGTAGAAGACCAACGCCTTCTTCACTCCGATATGCTCGTTCCCTCCGCTCCTGTGGATCGGCTTGTCGGTCCCGGTCGCCTTCCAGTAGCCGGAGGCGGCCGCGCGGTTCGGCCGGACCCCGTTGGGGTACTTGCGATCCCTCGGGCTGAAGAAGTACCACTCCTGCTCCCCAAACATGGCTTTGGCTGCGTCAAGCAGGAAAACTCGTGTCATCACAGAAAGCACAGAAGAGGGACGTGGATGGACCACTTCGCGGAGCGAGCTAAGCACGAACCAGGTAGGTCCCAAGGGTCGAACTTGTAGATGTCCACCTCGGCGATGATGGACACGGGACATGGCACAGAGGATGCCTGGTTCCGCAGGTAGTGCAGAATGAGCTCTTCGTCGGTGGGGTGGAACCGGAAGCCGGGCGGGAGCGACGCAGGATCCGACATCGTCACTGAAGGAGACGAAGCCAAGGGAAGGGGGGAAGAGATTGAAATCTCAAGGAGCGAACTGTGGCGCTGCCTTTATGGTGAGAGGCGTTTTTGTCCTTTAGCGACGCCGCGCGATCCATACACGCGGTTTCATCCATCGATCGGCCCCAGCATCAAGCGTTGAGGACCGTCGGATCAATCTTAGTCACCGTCGACGAGGCCAAATTGAATGAGGACTCCTCTCCCCAGTGGAAGACAACCATAGCCACTCGAATCATCCTAACCGTCCATTTCATCATGCACGGCTTCGATCTCCCTTGGGTCAACGTTTTCAACTTGAGTCAAGATGGACAGGTGGTTGCAGCGCGAAGGCCTACACGTGTCCGCGAGATCTGCCGACCCTGCCGAACACACAACATGGACGTGCACATAGACGGAGCCATGACTCATGCATGCAGACAAAGAGCTCGTATCTGGGTTTGTCGAGATGCATTAAAGGCAGGGATCCTTTAATAAGTCTCGTCTCAGTGCTAACACATGTGGCGGAAGTGCATAGGCTGGCAAGTGTGGTGACAGGAAAGTACGCTTGGTAGGTGTTAGTCGACGTTACTTCTGGTCCCCGTACTTGCCGAGAAGGTGTGGATTAGGAATAAAGGAGGATTATCTTGTGAATTAGTGACTGTCATTAGCTTGGACGCCATCACAAGTTACATGCAATCTTACGGTAGCTTCAATGCAAGGAGAGGCATCGGCGACAGCGACATCCGTCGGCAGATGCAGAGGGGAGCGGAGCTAAAGCCCAAGGCTTCGTCTTCCACATCTCCACTAGGATTCTATATAAAGTAACGTCAGGTTGTCATGCACTGATACGCGTCGAGTCGGAGGTGACAGGTGCATGCACCATGGCATATGGGGGGAGGAGGAATGCGAGCCGCGTCGGTCGTTTTCGTCGGATGGCGATCACGCTGACGAAGTGGATGATGAAATCCCCTCCCTTCTCCCCGAGGGAGTTCCCATCCAGCAAAAGTTGATGTTGATGACGATGATGATGCACATGAGTACGTGGAAGTCGAACGCACGGTGTTCCTGTCATGCTCAGGAACTGCATGTTCGCCGGTCATCACAGAACCTTGGCAGGTTCAGTTGCTTTGCGTTAGCATTCTGTGATGAGAAGTTTTGTCGTCAAATGCTCGCGAGATTGGTCTTGTGACTGATCCACAAGAAATGACTTCCTAGGTCCGTGGAGGTGGTAATGGAGGATGGATAAGATCGCGAGGAGAAAAGACAAAAGTGTTAGGGTGGAATGTTCAAGTTAAACTCTGGCAGCTTATTGGAAGAAGGAAAGGAGAGGGACAAAATGGCATGTGACATCGATTCTATATGCTCATCTTCCCATGCATGCATATCCACAGGGAGATGCCGGAGGAGGAAGAGAACCATTCCAGACCACTATTAAATATCTAATCGTTTTCTCGTGGTAGATTAAGACTAGAGATGTAGCATATAAGTGCACGCCATATATAATACGTGATGGTAAGCTATCTTCTTTGTCTTTATGGCCTACGAGTCTTACTTGGACTTTGGACTTTGGAATTTTAGGATGTTAATAAGAAACTAAATGAATGTGCAGCAGTCAAATCTGAAGTGATACACGTCATCATATCGTACAATTCTTCGGGGGGGGATGACCAGAGAAAAATGAAGTTGGAAATGACAAGAATCATATGCTGGAACATGGGGAATGTGAGCACTCACTGACCTTTTCCTTACGGCGGAAGCTTCAGGTGGTGATCCTTATCCCCCACCCTCATCGTTGACCACCCGCTTACTAAGAACCCTGAGGAATCGATGCTGCCTCATCCAGTGCATGTAGCCATCCGAAACAAGACGAGGTGGTGGGAATGGTGAAGACGGGACTCTCTCTCTCTCTCTCTCTCTGAGAGAGCGGCGATCGATCTCCATTCGCAGCAGCATGGAGAAGGATTGGGACGTGGAATTGGTGGCTCTCCACGTGGAGTCTGAGAGAGAAACCATGCAGGTTAACGTGTTCGTCGTCAGATTCACTCCTTGTCTTGGTCTGCTTTGGCATCACCCGATGAAGATGCTGTGGCTCTGTTCCACAAGTCACTCACTCTAAACGATAACGATGGAGCCAAATCCCGTTCCATTTACTTGTACGTGTACGTTTGATTCTGTGCAGCTTTGCCAATAGTGCTTAGTGGCCAAAGAAGAAAAAGGACAATGACATTTTCTACATCATAGGGAGTTAATTATGCCTCTTTTCCTTGTATTCTAATAATACTAAGTTCACACACCCAAGAAAGATGGAGAACTGCTCTACATGAATGCTCTCTCTATCTCTCTCGCTAAAGGAAGTCCAATCCATGAGACTAATCTTTCAAAGATAGAGAGGATACGCCTCTCTATAATACAACCAGATTGGTGTGGTGGAGAACCTACCACGGCATAAGACAATATTGTGCATATATAGACCTCTAAAATAAGTTATTTTTGTAGTTATCCCTCTGATTATTAGCATGTATATCTGTTTATCTCTATGGGTTAACTCAAATTCCGCAGTTAATTAAAACTCTAAATAATATTAATACTCTTTTTTAATATTTCATGATTATATATTGATAGTGGCACTTTAGGTATTCAAAAATTGGTAACTTAATCTACCTGACGTGTATATGTATGTATATATATATATTCATCCAAAGATTTATATCCACGCATCTTTTGCCAAACCTTATCCAACTAATGCTATATTAACTATACATAGAGTACATTTAAAAACATATTTATATTTTAATTATGTATTTAAACAAACAGGTTTGAGTGAATATTTAGTTGTGAAATGCTTTGACTGTTTAGTAAATAATAGATGAAATTATATTTTAAATATGCATTGATGTAAGTATTATTTGGTAAGATTATATTTTAAAAATTTATTATATATTATACAATAAATTTATCCTTTTAATATTTTTAATAATTTATTTAAAAATAATTATATATTTTCATTTAAATTAATAAATAAAAGAAAAATAAAAAATGGATATATGTATGTAATCTTTAAAAAAATTGTATGTCTTATATATATAATAAATAATAAAAATATAATCATATACATTAATACAAATTAACTTTAAAAGTAAATAAATAAAATCTTATTTAATATAAAATATAACTCTTACTGGTTTATCTCTAAATCAATATTTAATAAAAAATACTACAATTTAAAAAAAATGTTAAATGTTATTTGAAATGTGCATTGAGCCACATTTTTCCGAAACGTACCTATAAATTGTTGAAGAAAAAAATATATCTAAAATATTTTTATTATTATCATCGATTATTTTAGTTTCATTCTCATTTATTTTCTATTCTACTTCACCACAGAAAAAAAAAATCAAAGATTACTTCAAACATTAAAACAAAAGACTTCAAACTGACATCACAGAATAATATTAGATGCAATAATATAGTCGCATAATCTGATGGATATATATATATATATATATATATATATTGCAATGATACTTTGATTTATATTTGCACTGGACCAAGAAACTTGAACGAAGCTGGTGGCTGCATGCATGATTGTGAACACAAACGTGGAACCGGAGGAGTTCAGCTCATTTCCAAGCCCAAAAAGCAGAGAGAGAGAAAGAGAGAGAGAGAGAGAGAGAGAGAGAGAGAGATGGTAAAGGGCAAGAGAACTTAAATATCGAAGAGAGAGAGAGAGAGATATGGTAAAGGGCAAGAGAAGTTAAATATCGAAGGATACATCTTAACTGTGCACACTGTTTGTCGTATTTGAGCAACAGAGAAGGTCCGATGTGTTCATGATGTACAACATCACAACATGCATACGAATTTAATTGGGATCTCCGAACTCTTTCCGAATTAGTATGAATAATCGCAAAATATTCCTCTGGTATTTTGTCTCCTGGCCTTCGCATCCTAATTCACATGAGACCAAACATTAACGTACTGTTGGTATCAATCAAGTCTCCTCCTTCATTACCTACTGCTGTAAAAATCCTTGTACACTCACTCAGCTGATGTCCATGCGATATTACATAGCATCAGAGTGCAAACGTGACTAATGAATGCCAGTGCTACAGTAGCAGTGGATTAATGTGTCCTACTCTATTCACTATGTACAGATGCTTTTGTCTTCTCGGCGGATCGATGGAGCTCAGAATGGTGGCATGATTTGGGTGGTCTTGAGATACGGAGATCACATAGATGGGAAGAAGCAGCACTCTTGGTTCACCACATCGACCACGGGCAGAGATGCGATCCCGGCAAAAGGATTCTGCAACTCCTCCAGATTCAAGTCCACGAACCAATCGCTCTCCTCTTTGAGCTTTTCCAAGGTGTGGAAGGGATGGCATCCTTGTCGCACCAGATCATCCACCTCCGGGAATCCGGCGTGCTCGATGTCGGATTCCGGTGTGCGCAAACTATCCGATCTGGCGTCCTCGTTGATCTCCGACGTCTCCATCGCCGCCTCCTCCTTCGCCTGCATCTTTTTCTCCCAGCTGTTCTTCTTGTTGTACAAGCGGCAGAGCACCCAGTCGTCCAGCTGCAGGTGAAGGAAGCAAACGTTGAGAGAGAGAGAGAGAGAGAGAGAGAGAGAGAGAGAGAGAGAGAGAGAGAGAGGGTGTCGTACTCTTAGGCTGCCCTTCCTGTTGGGGGAGCGGTTGGTGTCGGCGAGGCGGTACTCGTGCATGATCCAGTCGGTCTTGAGGCCTCGAGGCGCCTTCCCGTGGTAGAACACCAAGGCCTTCTTGATGGCGAGAGGGCGGCCGCTTCCCGGCGGCGAGACGGGCTTGTCGGCGCCCGTGGCTTTCCAGTATCCGCTCCCGGCTGCCCTGTTGGGCCGGGAGCCGTTGGGGTACTTCCGGTCCCTGGGGGTGAAGAAGTACCACTCCCTCTGCCCGAACAACGCCTTCTCTGTTTCCACCACAAGGAAGAAGAAGAGGCTTGAGATCCTTCCAGCCCAACCGTGTCAGAATCGTGTTGCAGAGGAAGGCGAATGGGTGCGTACCTGGAAGCTCCCAGGGGTCGTACTTGTAGAGATCGACCTCGGCGATGATGGGCACCGGCAGGCGCTGGCACGCGGCCTTGCGGCAGAGGTAATGGACGACGAGCTCCTCGTCGGTGGGGTGGAATCGGAACCCCGGCGGCAGGTTCAGCTCCGCCTCCGCGTCTCTCGTCCTCCTCCCCATCGCTCCTATGTCTCCTTCTTCTTTAACTAATGCCGCAGACTTCTTCTTCTCTTCCTCCTCTCGTTATTGTGCCATGGGGAGAAGGGGGGAGGATAGATATAGAGTGATGAGGCAGAGACGAAACCGGTGGCGTTTGGAACGTGGAACTTGAGACGCAACGAAGAGGGGGGGGGGGCGGCGGTGGGGCCGCCACTGGCTGTGAAGCACACACGTGGTGGTGGGCGGGAGGAGGATGAGGTTGGCGCGGGGAAGCTTCCACCGAGGGGACTCGCCCAACGTGCCAATTGGAGGCGGTCAAAGGCGGACGGGGAGGAGTCGGCTGGACTCGCGTTCAAGGTGAGGTCAAATCTCGGCCTCGTGTACAGTGTTCGGTAGAGCCGTCGCGGTCGGACTAATGTCACGGACTACTTACTCACCCGCTCCTCCCCGCCCACCACTATCACGTGCCGGTGACAGCCGTCGAAACAGCATGTCCGTTCGATCTCTAAGTAGCGAAAGCAAGCAGGCGTGCTCCAAAGATTCGTCTTAGTTGGCTCTCTGGAACCTTCACGTGTCGCGTTCTCGATCCAGCCAGGGGGAGGCTCGAGTGTCTCTCATGCTACCACCAAATGCGTGAATATTTCGGATACTACATGAATTTTTCCTAATATGATTTTTTATTTAATGCGAATGCAATGGATTTAGTAGGACTTAAATTGATCGAGTCGAATGAGTAAGCTATAGATTCATTTTCAAGATGGAATATTCTGAGGGGAATGAATTGGAGTGAAATGGAGGATGTGAATCCACTACGTCATTTACTGATTTCTCTGTGATGAGACATGATTGTGAGCTTGGCAGGATGGTTGACTCGAGCTGAGCCTGGTCAACAAATAGTGAAGCAACTTAACATACCACTTCCCAAAGCTGTGGGCTGCCAAACTATCACTCGGGCAAATTTAGGGCTTGCATGACGCTACATTATGTGCTTTTCTTTTATTATATGAAAATTAGCATATCTATACAATCCGGTGGGTATCATGTAATAAACATTGATGACAAACGACATTAAGAGAATTTATTGATGAAAAATACGAAAAATGCTGCATAGCATGTGATATATCAACCGTTCATTTTACGTGGTTCCTAAAGAGAGATGAGATGAGATGAGCCTTCCCCAGAAGATGCGTTCGCTGGTGCAGTGGCATATTCCAAAGCCTATGCGAGCAGCTTCTGTCGCTTGTCCCTGTGGAAGGGGATGCGCTCCAGTTGAGCTACTTGACTTAACCCTCCAACGGCCACATCGGAGCCGTCCACCGTGAGACTCGTCCATCACCGGTGGGTCCAGCCGCCGCACGATGACTCATAGCGGAGGTGGGGCAACGTTGTTAACGTGACAGTGGATCGGATTCGGGACAAGTATTGTGTCAGTGAAAGAGAGTTCTGATGAATGTGTTTTTGTTGTGCATTGCATGCCTACTGGTGATGATGCGGGGAAAGCTCCGGTTGATGAGCAAGCTTTAAGACCAGGTGCATGCATCACCGCATGGCACGATGTTTGTGCTTTTAGGATGGAGCATTAGTTTGAGGAACAAAGGAGTATGTTTGGATGTTCATCCCACACACCGCATGGCAAAGAAACTGTACATTGAAAATTAGAAAGTCTCCAGTGGAGAGTCTCAATCATTGGATTAGTCTCGGATGGTTTAGAACTGACAGACTATGATGAATCAAGCGCTATACGATTGAATGTAATCTAACGTGCTAAATGTGCAATGTTCTCAACAATATCTAGCTCGCTAAGAAAATATGAGACAACTAAAAAAAATGCGTATGAAATCTCATTCAACTGCATGAAAAATTGAATATGAGAATTCAGCATGCAAATCTATAAATTGCAGTCCTACATCTTTTTTTTTTTTATTGAGTTACAACTGTAAGCCAATTAATCGAATGCAAAATTGTGATTACGGGATCCCTTGCTGCAGCTTAACCTTCTTTCATAACCACCAGGCTCGATAGATGCTTTGATATCCCACAGGCAAAACCACCACACCATGGAGTAGAATGCTTCAGTGTGGAATCTTTGTTGTAGCTGCAATAGCGAAAAGTAGATTGACCTTATGGTGACGATGCAACTTCAATGGCGCTACCGAGGGGCCATGCTGCCTCAACAACCGCGTCGGCATATTTGACCTTCTTTACCAGTGTAATATCGTGATCTGGATCTACATCTGCCATTACATGAAAGGATGAATCAATATCAGTCGTAGAACTAGCAGAATAACGACTCCTGGTACTACTTTGATAAATTGCACGTACCAAACCCATCTACCAGCAAAGTGTACTGGTACACGAGATCCATGCACAAATAGGGAAGGTTATCATCTTGGACAAGAGGATATTTGGTCTTAGCATCCTCAACACTCAATTGGCAAGCCTGCTTTGCAGCCTTCTTGAAATATGCAGGTTTAACCTTAGCAGTTGGCTTCTCGCTATCTACAAACCCAGCCTGACAATGATCCAGAATGAGCTTTCAGTGGCAATACCAGGATGAGGAAACAATATATATCGGCTGAAACACAAAAATAGACATCTGGGTCTCAAAGAAGTCACCATTCAGCAATATTACCTCGGCAGCTCTGTCAAAGAAAAAGGATGCCACAAATAGATGTTTCTGCCCATCTCCACCTCCGCCGTTCCAGATGCCACCAAATGTACACTTCATGTGAGTGCATGCTGGTTCATCAACTTTGAGAGCCTTAATTGCATCATCCCTGCATTTGGAAAAGCTGGCACCAGATGGTGATGCTGATGCTTTGTATGCCTTGCCACCGTACTTGTATGACCCTTGATAGTAAAGGAATGAAAATGTTTAGAAGCAGCAGTTACATCATATAAAGCTATTCGTGATATACATGACAGGCAGATTAAAAATTTTAACTTGAAAATATGACGCGGGAAATAGAGGGCATAGACTATTGTTGAGACCTTTTTTTTTTCTAAATGTCAAGATGAGATGCAAAGATATATGATTATGTGAAATCTCCTCAAGTGAAAGCTATTGGTGATACCAACCAACAGTGTATATAGGTAATCCATCATTATCAATGGTTTCTACAATGATACAATTTTCAACTGCCATGTAAAAGACCAGAGAAGAAACTCCATCACCAAATTAATTATATTAAATACGAGATTGATCTAACTGTATGAGTTTTATTCCAACATAGTTTTTCCAGTGGTTTTGGAATATTACACGAGTTTCAAAGACCAAAGAAATTCAACTTATTGACCATTTAGCCGGTCGTATAAGAGATACATATGGTTAAGCACAAATTTGGGCTTGATTCCAGTGTCTGGCTGAGTTCTTTGTGTGAAACTTTGGTTTTGGTTTTAAGGTGAAATGTTAATAAACATCAAATGAGATCACACTGTCCAGACTTGTGAGCTTATATTGTCCTGTGTCATCTAATCACAGTATACCCTCTGGCAATCCAGCAGAATGCTGGAAGATACAATGAAGCACCCAATCCATTAGTTCTTCCTAAAGGATGACTCAAAATCACCCAAGGGGCCCAAAAATATCATGGCACAGAATGCTTTTTATGATTTAATGGTAAAAGAAACTTGTCATGGGCATGCAATACAATTCCATTGACCTCAGATTGGCAACTGGTTTTCTCAGTGGAAAAAATAGAGAGCAAAGGAAGCAAGCAATATTATTAAAGAGACATGTAGTTGTCCAAGTTACATGTACTAAAAGATTCTGAAAATTAACATCTACTCTCTGATAATAAGTCCAGAGCAAAACGAAGAAGAAGCTATGGTAAAGATCTGGAGGGTTAATTGTGTGCATGAAGCATACCATCGTAGCCACCCAAAATGCAGTTGCTGCGATCCTCCGTGATCTTCAGAATCTCTGCACGAGCAGCCAATAGACCATAGTGCAAGTAACTACGAGGGAGACCACAAGTCAGTTTACAATCATTACCAATTAAATTCCAAATTAACAAAAAAAATGAGGATTTCAAAAGCAGAAAAGATGCCAAACCTGTGGACGTATAAGTAATATCTAGTTCCCTTCAGAAACAATTCCTGCACATATGAATCCTGTCCATCTGACACTTTCGGAGCATTTGCAGCATCTTTTTCCGAGATGGCATAAGCCATTTGAACAGATCCACCCCCCAAGTCAACTACTCCAACAGTCTTTGCATAAGACTTTCCAAGTTTTCCTAATAGATAGTTAATAGTGACCTACATGCACATGTCCCTTTGTTAGAGTAGAAAAAAAAAAAAAAAAAAATCAACTAAGAAAACTATCTTAGACAGAATTCATGGTCTCAAGGTGTAGAATGTGATTGGTAACAAGCTTGTAGGAATAGATAGATCTGGCATGCCATAATGTAAAATTATAAGAAAGTTGAAACTAATGGAATGCGATAAAGTCAAACATCTAGCAGCTAAAATGTACGAACAACTTCATACTATATCTCAGATTTGATTAAGAAAAAACTTCTAGAGAACATGAAAGTGGTCAAATATTACATTGATGAGCTACTAGCTAACCAAGTAATTGTTTAAGCATTAATCTTCCAAAAATAAGAAAATGGGAATCAGCTTGCACTAGAGCTTATGCCCTTCCATACCTCAACAAATTGTAGCTTAAGGGTGAAGCTTAGGATTTCCAAAGATGAAGCTGAAAATCCTATATAACTTTTGTATTACAGAAAAGGAACATGGATTTCATTTAATATCAGTTTGGTCTGTTCACTATGTTCTCTTTTTTCAAGCATGTCAGATACTATTACCATGTTGAATTGTAACATTCTTTAGAGTCTCCTACCTATATGACACTAGATTTAATGACTCTACCATGCATTAAACTTGTAGTATCTTGAATGGGCTCATGTGGGGCAGTACATCATCCATTACCTTTCCAAGATCTAGTTCGTGACCAATTAAAAGTAGCTACTGTGTACATAAAATTCTCAAAAGTAATTTTCTTCACAGGAACCCTGTGAAATCCAATATTCAATTAACAAATAAATTGCTTAGCAAGCATGACACACCAATTTCACAAAAGTCTTTAACGGTAAGTCATCAAGTTCACCATTAAGCATAATAAGGCTCCGGAAGCCAACATAGAAAGTTGTATTCAAAGAGCTGATGCTTCCTGATCTCTCTGGTAAGTACAATGTTATTTAAACTAAACTAATTGAAAGACAACTGGTGATAGTATGTTCTCATATAACATTCAATATATTATTAAAGTTCAAGTTGTATACCCATTGGAAAGCACCTTCCTGAGTTCCATCAAGGACAGTCACCCAATCTGGATTGAACTTCAGCGAGCTCTTGCGTTGAAGGAGATCTCTTACCTGTGTAAATGATCCCCCCCAAAAAATTTATATCACATCAGTGTTAACATCAGTGTTATGGTAAGAATTGTAAATGTGGAAATAAACCTCAACTTGATCAGGATATCATATTAGAATTTAGAACATCTTTCCAAATAAGCATTAACATTATTAAGGAACATGGAAGGATTTCTACCGCTTGCAAAATTTTTTCAGATGTTTCAGCTCCCAAAGCTCGCAGACCTGCGGTAGCCTGCATAAGCATCACACTTAGACAATGAGGCTCAGCACATGCAATGTTACATAAAACAAGTTTGCGTATGTCTAGGGACAGCCACCAGTCCAAAGTAGTATAGTTTACCCCAACTCTGACAGGTGTTTTCTGTCGCAATTCCACTGGAACAACACTTTCAGCTTTCTCCAACAGAGGAACAAGAGAATTTGCAGCCTCCTGAGGATCGTTAGCATAGAAGCTCAAGCCTGGTTTTTTCTGCATGCAAAAGAAGATACAGGTAACCAAGAAAGTTGCAGATTGGATGTTTTAGCACACTTGAAATTCATTTTTATTAGATAGATGATTAATATGTCAAGGTGCCTGGTTATAGGGTACACAATTAGATGAAGTAAGATGATTCTGAATATTATCACAAATGGTGAAACAAGCTATTGTTTAGGAATCCATCAAATGCATGCTTCTTGTTTAAAATTAACAGAATTCTGGAATATCATTCAGTTACCCCATTAGGTAATCAACAACTAAGCATACGATGTTTTATCTGACATCCCTGGTGTCTACTTGTTGTATCTCAGTATTTTAGCTTAATTTAGAAGATTACTCCAACATACAACTGGATGCTTATAGTTATGCACCACTGGCAAGTAATCAAGTCTGTCCAACCATTAGGAAGTTCCAATTAGGTATAATATATAGAATCTTCATGCCTGTCAGCATTGTTCCAAGTGACAAACTAGTGACTAGACATTACAGCACACAACCTGTACTGTCTTCACCTGAAAAGGTAACAAGAGACAATAGAACATCCCAGCGACCTATATTCCATGAGTGCTGATTCATGCCATGACCTAAGATGATTCAAGGCAGTCAAGGCACCGAAAGCAAAATGAAGCACATAACAGGGGTGAGACTTGATGCTGTGCTTTTGAATGTGCTTGCCACTTGAGTCTTTTGGGTCTTGAGTTGTGGCTGAATTGCGACAGTCATATACAATTACGTCAAATATAATGGCAGCACCCCTCCCAATTTAATAATCTCGCTTAAACTGTATGGTCAATATTTACTTCTTTTCTATTGTATCACAGATCCAGGACACATGGAACTTGTATGTGGTGACTTTTTGTCTGTCAATTTCAATTATGGTTGCATATTGCCAATATTTTGTGCTTCATATGTTCAGTCTCTAGACTCTAAGTTTCATTTTATAATTCTTAGTGTATAATTTAGCTCTAAATCTCCATCTTAAAGCTTACCTCTGCTCAACCATAATTATGTCATCAATAAAATACATATACCACAAATTCATCTTGAATGTTCTTTATTACTTTTCCACTATGGGTGCAAAGGTTTAGAACTTAAAGTTGATTCCTCAAATATCCCTATGATGATAAGGAACTTCTAGTTTCATATGTATTGCAATACAAAAGTAGCTAATTCAACATATATTCCCTTAATTAGATCACTACATCTACTGAAGCTCCATTTCTTTTCTAAAATCTATCACATTGTATCTATTTAGAATGTTCCCCTTTAATTCAATAAAAACCGTGAACATGCTTTTTATTTTTCTCTATAAATCGAAACAACAAAGTCCATCACATATTCATTAGTTGTAGAATAAATTTCCAGCTTATTGTATTCCTCTTATTACTTATATATGTAATCAATGTTGAGCAAGTATCAAACGTTAAAATAATGAACCTTTGGATCTATCCGATTTAACTGGATATCAATTGAGAAACAACCAGATAATAATAAAGCATATCCTGTACTAAAAACGCAATGCCACTGATGAAATTACAGTAAGTTCAAGAAATATCAACAGTTGTACCCTCACCTGTATAAAGAGCTCCAACTCCATCCCTATGTGGAGAAGATCCAAGTTCTCATCAAAGCAGTAGACGTGAACCCTGCTCCCCGAACTCCCCGCGTCAAAGATAACAGCATAACTCTTAGATCTCGGCTCGCCGCCGCCGGGCATCGCCTTCCTTCCGGCGATGGAGATCGTCGCCGGAGATCGGGGCATGAGGAAGAGGACGAAGGAAATGAGGAGGAGGGGGACAGCGACGACGAGGATGACGCCGCGGAAGCGCTGGATCTTGTCAGGGAAGGACTCCTGGCGCGCCCGCTTCATCTTGGCTTCGAGCTCGGCCGGGGCGCGGCTGAGCTCCGGGGCGGACGGAGACCGATAACGGATCAGGCCGTTGGACGACGACGACGGTGTCGGCGTCGGTGGCTTCAACGGCGTCTCTTGCGACGGATCCAGCTTACTTGTAGAGAATTGAGTTCGAGATCGAGAGAAGGGTTCGAAGGCGACAGAACGCAGCGCGATCTCCCCCAAGACCTTCCTCTCTCTCGATCCTCTCTCCCTCCTCGATCGCAAGAGGGGAAATTAGAGGCGAAGGGAAACAGCCGGTAACTGTATATAAAATGACAATCCTACAGATACACTAGGAACGTGTACGGAATCACGTGACGAAAAATCGACCAGCAGCCGTTGTGCCGAAGCCTCATGCGGTGTTTCGTTTTAAATGGTGGGTAACAAACTGGGTACTTTCCCAGATGAGGCTTTCAATTTAAGTTGTCGTTCTGTGCTTAGCTGTCACGGTAGTGGTTCCGTCGGTTACCGAAGTTACCCTCACGGGTGACGTCGTGAGGCGCAGGCCGCAAGTGGGACCCACAGTGTGCTCAAAGCAGGAGGTTTACGGTGTGGGGCCCGGGGTTTTGTTCCACTGGGTCGGTGGTTGTTTTGGTGCGGTTTGTGAAGAGGATTTGCTCGAGTGATCCAACGTTTGCAGACCCGTTTTTGGGCAAATTTTGTAGGCATCGACTTGGAAACTGATGCTGCCAAATCGGAGAAGTTGATGTGGATATTTGCGTCTGCAACGGCAGTTAGGCAGTGAGGAAATGAGGACCAAAAGAATCTTCTCCAGGGAACGATCTCGGTCTCGTGCCTGCCTAATTGGCTCGCAAAGACACCGAACAACTCGTCGACCATCTTGTTACGTTTATGCAACCGCTTCATCCATCTGGTCCTGAGATGGTTACCTGTAGGATTCGGGTTTGGATCTCGGGTGGATCCGACCCGATTATTCCGTTGCCAGGCTTCATTCGATTTAATTCGTGTGTTAAGCCCTTAACAATGGCGTCCCGCTCCAAGTCGGTTCATCGCATCTCGCGCACCGTCATCGCTCGGAAACCTCAAGAAACCGACCGCCGAGGAATCGCGTCGCCGGCACGGTGATTCCCACCATCTCGTCCGCACTATCAGACGGACCTCTTCCCTTCGTTGGGCCTTCCTAGGAGCTCGCCGTTCTTGGACGCGGCGGACCGTGAAATCTCCGGAAACCTCAAGAAAACCATCGCCGACGAATCGCGTCGCGTTCACGGGGATCCCACCATCTTGCCGGCGATATCATGCGGAGCCCTCCCCTTCGCTGGACTTTCTTAGGAGCTCGCCGTTGTTGGATGCGGCGGAGCGTGAAATCTCCGGAAACCTCAAGAAAACCATTGCCGAGGAATGGCGTCGGCGTCACGGCGGATCCCACCATATCACTGGCACTATCCGGTGGAGCTCTTCTTTTCGTCGGACTTTCTTAGTAGCTCGCCGTTCTTGGACGCGGCGGACCGTGAAATCTCCGGAATCCTCTGCGTCGGAGTACGGCGGATCACACCATATCACTGGCACTATCCGGCGGAGCCCTCCTTTTCGTCGGACTTTCTTAGGAGCTCGCCGTTCTTGGACGCGGCGTTCCGTGAAATCTCCGGAAACCTAAAGAAAATCACCGCAGAGGGATCGCATCGCCGTCAAGGTGGATCCCACCATCTCGTCGGCGATATCAGAGGGAGCCCTTCCCTTCCGGACATTCTTAGGACCTCGCCTTTCTTGGATCCGGCGGATCGTGAATTATCCTGAAACGTCAGGAACCCGCCGCCAAGGAATCGCGGTGGCAGATCCCACCATCTCGCCGGCGATATCAGACGGAGCCATCCCGCCGCCAAGGAATTGCGTCGCCGTCACCGCGGATCCCATCATTTCACCGGTGCTATCATCTTGAGCCGATCCGTACGGGTTTCTAGCCCATGGTCGGATGTGGATGTTGAAACGCTTCTTGAAGTGCACAGATGGGGATCCGGTGAACAGGGCATTGGGCTCAATGTTAGATTGCAATCGCTGATATGTTGAAGGCAATGATGAGAAATTTGATTTCGCTGAATCCGAAAACGTAAGTGACATTCTAACAATCTTTAGGTCATCTTGGAGTTTGTTTGGTTCTCAACACAATCTGTGCCATGAGTGATGTTATTTGTGTATTTTACGCAGTGATCCGTCGCCTAGTTTTCCTGTGGAAGGCCTTTGTGTTCAGATGGATCTAACTTAGTTGGCTGGCATGAGATGCATAGATACCAGAAGGTCTACCCTATGGAGATTTGTCATAACAAGGTGAATTTATCATTTGTTTCTAAATTTCTCATCTTCATTTATGCTTGATTTCGATTTAATTTTCTACAATGGTACTTCGTTATCACAAATGCATTGATACTCATTGAGATCCGGTTCTTCGGGAGCCCCTACTTTATTTATGTTTATTATGTTATAGCAGGGTCTATGAGGAACTGGTAAACTATGTGATAGACTGTAGGATTTTGCAGTCTATTTTGGTGGGCTTACACATTTCCTGTTCCTTGTATCTTTGTTTCATAGACTGATGTGCATAGCTTCGAATACATGTCAATTTTGTTTGAAGTTATATAAATTACAGTGAAAGGCATGAGGGTGAATGGTAAGGATGTTCGCTTGTGAATTATCCTTCTCTTATTTTGCATTGGTGGATCCTTATGCATTGTGATCAACTCTTTTTGCTATGTCAGGCACCCTTGTTGGAGACAATATCATTTTGAGTGCAGGTCTTTCTTTGCATGCATGGTCTTAGGACCTGGGTTCATACGAGGTCTATTGGGAAGGAGTTGAACTTTACAATGTTTTATGTTGAGTATGTGGCGTCAGCTTGATGCCGATCTAGAAATCCAGATTTTCATGTGAAACTGATGTCAATTGTCAGGCATTACCTCACAGCTATAGGCTATAGTAGCTTTTAGCAAGAAAAAAAGCTTTTTATGTTTTGCTATACTTATTAATTGAATTATTTAAGCTACCTTATGCATTTTAATTTTTTGTACATTAGCAAAGCCACATATTTCTATAACTGATTAAACTATGTTTTTTTCTAAAATAATTTTATCATAGAAACAAAATCATAATGGGGAATCTGAAACTTTACTCCAATATTCATTTGTATAGGATGTTGTCCGTTTAGTAAAATATATGCCTTTTTTACGTTTATTTGCTTTTATCCAACATATGGCACACTCTTTGTTCTATCATTTTAGAATTAATAAGATATCTGTCTTTTAGAAACAAAATTATTGTTATGGTGTCCTGCATTTACTCAAACCCTAAAGTATTGAAGATCGAGTTTCTTAGTCGGCCTAGCTTTGGGAGGCGAAGGGTTTTAAAGGACATTGATAAGATACAAATCCTTTGGAACTCCATTTAATATGTGTTGCTATATTGTGATTCTGTTCAGTTTAGAAAACATGGTGTCACTTGCCTTACTAAAAGGGCTACAATACATACATACATACACACACACACACACACACAAACACACACACAAACACACACACACACACACACACACACACACACACACACACACACACACACACACACACACATAATGTGTGTGTGTGTGTTTGTCCGGGTGTGTGTGTGTGTGTGTGTCCGGTGTCCGGTGATAAAGGTTGGGCTCAACAAGGATGGGTCAAGTTTGGGTTCAACAAGGATGGGTCAAGTTTGGGTTCAACAAGGATGGGTCTTGTGGGAAGGAGCAGTGTTGGTCTATCAAAATAGTCTCAGTTTAGTGTTAGCTGGATTCATTGGTCTATCAAAATAGTTTCAAAATAGTCTCAGTTTAGTGTTTTGAGGACTGAGCTGGATTCATTAGTCCATGCCAATGCTGATTAACATTGGTATAAAGTGTTAGCATCATTATAACATTGATCTTCACCTTGGATGCCATTGTCGAACTAGCAATGAGCATTTTTCCAGTTTGCATTGCCTCAAAGTTTTTTCTTGTTACCCCAAAAAAATGGTCCCTATAATTTATTTCTGTTAGATGCATTTTGTATTTTATGCAAACTTTCCGATTGTGTGGTGAGGTTATCCTATTTCTGCTACTTCAGAGCAACTAATGTCTTGCCTTTTTCTTTTCTTATGAATTTTTATTGCTGAATTGTAATATGGTTACCAATCTCTCTCTTGCTTTTCTTTACCACTATATGCAAGTTTCAGCATCCATATCTTGGCTTCTTCTTTTTTTCCATTGAACCAGATCATGAGCTAGAAAAAGATCTGCTGAAGCAGTAGTTTCTTTTCATAAATTGATAGTAGCTGTTGAAACTACTGTTCCCATCATTCTAATGAATTTTTTGGTTTGGTACTTAAGCTTACACATTATGCTACTCCATTTCCTTTTTGCCTGTCATTGACTCCCATAATTATAATTATTTACGTTTCATCAAAGGATTTTACTATCTTCAGAACAATTATAATCTGCTTTGTGCATGGATTTTTTCATTATCTACTGACCGACTCAAATTAGAAGAGCATGCAAACAATTATAACCAGTTTTTGTCTAAGTTCCTTAGATTGATCCTATTTACAGTTAAGGGGTACCATTGGGTACAGAAATGAGTTTCAAAATGTAAGGTGCATTATTGCTAATAGCCTGACTGTTGTTGAGGAGCATTGATTATTTGCCAAAATAGGCCCTTGAACATAATTCTGTCTGTTGTCGAGGAGCCATTTGATGCAGAGAATTGGGATGAGCCATCTGATACAAAGATTCAGGATGCAAAATACGGCACACTGTTGCATAACAGTTATATGGGTACTGAATTATATCATTGTTAGGTAGCTTCAAAAGTATGCTGTAGCACCCTTTGTCGGCTGGATTCCTTTTTTTTTTTTTTTCAGGCACCACTTGGGTGTATCAGATCCTGCTTGGCAGAAAGATCTAGTCACCGAGCACCAAAATGGTAATGGGCACACAAGGTGCCAACCTAGCAACAGTTCGAACCTTCAACCTTTGAGAATGAGATCCAAAGACACACTTAACTGGTTGAATGTGTATGTCAACTGGATCTTGATGCAGGGTTGTTGAAGATAAAATCAACAGTCTTTACTCTTTAGTATTAATTATGATAGCTAAGGTAAAAGACACGTTTTGGATTGAGAATTTGCAACCTAATGTTGATTGTAAATGATGAGACTATTGAACTACATGTTTGGGCATTGTTGAGGTTGTTTTTCTTAAGTTCTTCTTTAGCCCTTTGATCATGGAGTTTGGCAGTCTTTAGTAACACAGTGTCAGATGGGCCAAGACAATGATGATATTAATGGACTAGTCCTTTGGGTTTGTAAGCCTAGTGTTTGCCAATTGAAAGTGTCGAACCTCGTAAAACAATAAAAGCTGGGTATGAGATTAATAGGATATAGATAAGCTGTAACTTTAAGTAGCCGCAATTAATAGGAGCTAAAACATTTCTCTCAGTTGGAAGAGAATTAGGAGACAAAACATGACTCATGAACAAAATGTGGAACGTCACAAAGAAACTAAATTTTATTGTAAGTAATCAGTGGAGAGTAGGACACACAGCCCCTTGGAAACTAATTGGACTGCCTTCGGGGAAAATAATTTTATCCCATGGCTGTCCATTTCTTGTCACTGCCAAAAAACACTTATGGCTTTGGGTTCTCTGTTGGCTTTGAATCCATTATTCAGTCCCTTAAATCATTGGAAGAAATGTCTTTTATATATCTCCGGTAGTTTGTTACCCCATTCACATGACGGTGTCCTCGTCCTTGCCTTCATTACTTTCTTCTCTTCTCCTAATCTTGTAAAGCTCCCTGCCTTCATTTCCCTTCTTCTTCACCTAATGGATTGGTAAAGGTAGGGATGGCACTGCAACCGTAGGGATGTGAGCAGTACTATAAAGCAGTACTCTCTTCTACTCAACTGTTCACGAGTGTGGTATAATAGATAGGATTTTTTTTTTAATTAATAGATAGGATTTTGATTCCTACCAATAAGCAGGTGTCTGGAAGCATATATCACTCATGTCATGGCACATCTCCTTAGAAATTATGATCAAAGAGGGCATCTTTGTAAGGCCTTGAAAACATTAACCTACAACTTATAAGTGAGATTACAAGGGTTTTTGCTTTTTTGGAACCTTAGTTTCATTGTTTACTAATGGAGGAGATTTAGGACATTAGATATAGTCAGTGCAGCTTTTTGTACAGGGATGATTACCTTAAAAATGAGGAGGCACACTAACAAATAGGCGGATGGAATCATAAGCTGAAAAGCTAATAAAGTGGGAATTATGTATACGTAAAAAGTAAATCACATTATTAGCTAGCACTAACCACCATAGGCTGGCCATTCTTTGTTAGAGATTTAATTAAGCTGCAAAAGCTGGGAATATGAGCACTTTTTGATAGTCATATCAAAGGTGAACCATAGGAAGACACGGCGGCCCCACAGACCAATGGGCATCATATTTGCATTGACTTTGGCCCTTTATGATCTGATGATTCTGTTCTGATTTAATTGTCCAGTTACAGAAAGAAGGACAATAAACCAATTGGAGCCACCACAAGATGGATACAAGTTGTTTGCACAAAAGCAGTGTTTTCTTCAACCCATCCACCCCCTCCCTCCCTGCAGGAGAAAGGTGAACAAGAGATAAGGGAGAAAATCAATACCTATTTTCACCGTAAGGTTGGGGTGTGATTTAGAATCTAGCTGATACCTAAATGAGGAGGTAAGTTTGGCTCCCTTCCCCTCCTAGAAAGCACTTTTCTCACCTTGATGTTGTGCTCTGGCCCCTAAGAGATGTTTTGATGGATGGTAACCTGTTCAAGGAATCAACAAGAGAATTATTACACGTGTGTTCGATTTATTGAACTTCAGACTCCTTGCTTAGGTTACTTTTGAGTTTCTAATGAACGATTACGTCACCCAAAAGAATCACTACCCATCTTCTTGAAGATCATTTAGCTCAATTGAAAAGTTTCTTTCGGTTGCTTGCTTGATGATTACACTGTTTCGAAGTAATTGTCCAACATATAAATGTTGCAGAGAAAGATGATAGACCCATTTATAAGAGAGGACTAGGAGACGATCCAGAAAGGTGAGTAGAGTAATGGGGTTGGCCTTAGAAAATTTGTTTGGTTTTCAATATTAAAATGACTGAAGGGTTTAGTTCCATCAATTGTTTAGTTTGGCCGTGGGTTTTAAGAATATTTACGTTGGGCGTACGTAGTCTCTTCAATATCATTTTATTTTAAGAAAGTGGGCCTTTTCTTATTGTTTGGACAAATGACATGTTATATATACTCTGTGCCGTGTGCGTCTCTTGGCATTTATAAATCACTTATAAATGCTAGATCGGGCATAGTGCAGTTTCTCTTCGCGTTCACTTCTATGAGTGCGCCAATTACTGATGAGTGTGGTAGAGTTGTTGTGAAGGACAGACACTGACATTGTCGCATGGAGCGAAATCGGTGGAGAGTCTTTGGTGGGGTTTGGGAGATACAGTTTAATCATAACATCCCTGGTATATCTATATATCCACTGCTTGTCGATAAATTATGATAGGATATGAATTATGAAATTCCCACTGGGAAAAGAACTTCTCATGCACATCAGGACTGGGAATAGGGAGTCCTTTTGGAGGACCTGGAAAACTTTTTTTTTTTAATCTTTTTTCTTTCATTAGAGTTTGATTCGAGAAAAGTGAGGGATTGAAAAAGGCAGCCACAGTGATACTAGATAGTAAAAAGTGATGCCAGATGCCAGTCACGTCAGTTCTTTATTTTCTTCGAGTCCTGACCAAGACATTGTCCGTGCCACTAAAAAATGACTGCTACCATTAGCTGTGAGCCCACCCACCAGGACAGACAGCTGCTTGGCCCCCCAGAAGGTTGATAGATTCACAGGGGTGACAATAATTACTGAAAGCAAGATAGCTTCTTATGACGATTTTGGAGTTCACTAATTAAAAGTTGGCTGCTGCTCCACTGTTTCCCTTTAGTTCTGTGACAAATTTACACTGAAGGCACACTCTGGAACACCATCTGTTGGTGTTATTTAGCAGTGCAAGCACAAATCCTTGTAGTCCTCTTTTACCAGTCAGTAGCTTTTCTTCGTTGGCCCTATTCCACCGCCCCATGTTGTCATGCGCTGGCAAGCAGCAATAGGTGGTGACCAACCACCTAAAAGGGGATCGAGGATTGTACTTGTTCATCATCAATTTCATTTTCTTTTGAACTTGAAAAGAAAATGAAACCTTCCGTCCATATTTCTTTTGGATCGAAGACATCCATATTTCCTATCTTTCAACCTTCCGTCCTTCAAGCCTTCTCTTGCAACAGTTAATTGATACGTGCCCCCACTTAACTGACATGTGAGAATTAGATGAAGAATATAACTTTTGAACGCTGTAAGTAATATCCTATGAAATCAATTTTTTTTTCTTGGTGGTGAACTGGAATTTTTTTTACTCATTGTTGTTTCTCTCTCTCTCTCTCTCTCTCTCTCTCTCTCTCTCTCTCTCTCTCTCTCTCTCTCTCTCTCTCTCTCTCCTCTTCGTTATTATTATTTTCTAATTTTACTAATTCACTTTTATATCATTCTTTAGAGAGAGGATCGATGAGTGGCTCTGGTGTGACGAGGACATATGGGCTTTACAAAAGGAATGCTCTCGACTGCTTCCAGAAAGAAAACCGCAACCACAGCAATAATAGCACCATCTGGTCTTCAAAAGTTGGCCGACTTTCCACTCTCTCGACATTGCAACAGTTGCGGTTGGCCCCAAGCAATAGCATTTCCTCCTCACATTTGTGAAGATTACTACATCGACGCCGCCTTGTGTTTCCATGTCTCTCTCTATATAAAACCCGGGAGAGGAGTCGCAGATTCTACCACGAGCTGTTTGTTACTAGGAGCAGATAAGCTCGTGATGTTGGAAGCATTATCTCCAAGGTCTCACGTAAAAGACACGAGGTATTACGGTCTGACGATTCCATCACTAGCCACAGTCGTGATCAGACAGCTTTGTCTCTCTGCTCGGTTCACAGAGTGCCAGTTATTGTTTTCGAGAGGGATAAATGCATTGTCATTGCTGCTGTTCCTGAAACACTGGGTCTGCTGCACTGGGCCATTACCACGCTGCACCTATGTCCACAGCCTGCAGGCGCAATAACTACAGACAAGGTACGATGGTACCTGCAAGTTGCCACGGTGCCGTCTGATGATGGGCTACAAGTGATGCATGAGAGTTCAGTCCCAGCGAGCTTTCATCACTTTTTGACAGAAGGGAGATCTCGGTAGGTCACAAGTCGTGTATAGCCAGCCTTGGATCGGAAACATACATCTTTTTCTTGGAAACGTATAGTGCATGCATGCTTCTTTCATCCCACTCCAATCATATAGGTTGGATGCTTGACAGGCTAACACAACTTGGGATGCAGGTCGTACTAACAAAATTACCAAACTGGGGCGATCCGGTGGCGCGCACTCAACTTGCTAGCCGTGGGGGGGTCACGAGGAGAAAGCTTATTTTGCGGAACAGTGATTGCGGCCTTGGATTCCAGCGGTTTGGTCTGAAACGGGAACAGCTCAGTGATCTGCTTCGGTCTCCTGAAGATGACTCGCCACGATATTTTCCCTGGTATCTCTCTCTCTCTCTCTCTCGCGTTGTACTTTAAAAGATTGCCAGAGGCTCGACAACTCACACGTGCCGAAGCCATGGGCACGTGAGAGTGCACACGGGATAAATAGATGGCGTCCGTGTGGGTTGGGGGATCTTTGGGGTTGGTGACCAGACTGACACGTCCCTTGTGTCGGCCCCCACCGGCCCCACATGCACGAGCATGGATCCAGTAGTAGGGATCTGTGAAGTCCAAGTCTCACCCTGCTTCAGAAATACATGACGGGCTAAAAGGAGACATCGAACCACAGCGTAGACAGGCTCTGCGTGGGTTTATCATAGTCGAATGCTGGTGAATGAGCTGGAGTTCTTCTTCTTCGTCATCATCATCATCATCATCATCATAACAAGGCAGCTGTGGCTTGGGAACACGATGGAGTTCCTCATCTGCTTGTCTTAAAAAACTGAATAAGAAACAAGTATCATGTTATCGGGGTGCGTGAGCTCCTGCTGCGGAATATCTATATGAAAAAACACAATAATGGTCGTCTCAGTGAAAGTTGGCGGAAAATGACAACCAAAGACGAGCCATAACCACGACAAAAGATAGGGAGGTGGAGGGGGAGTGACCGGTGTGGAACACCATATGATGATGGCTACCTTCGGGAAAAGGAAGACGGCCGTATAGCAGTTGAGGAGCGATGAGAGAGAGAAGAAGAAGAAGAAATAGGACTCATCCATGCTCTCACCACCATTCTCCTCTGTGACAAAAGCATGGGAGAGAAGTGTGGCGAGGGGAGAATCGAGGAGAGAAGTGTTGCAGAGAGTGGCGTTGCAGCCGAAGAGGGGCTCGGTAGGATGAAAAAGGCTGTTCTCGTCTTCTGCCGGGAGCTTAAGTCCATTTAGAGCTTAAGTCCATTTAGAAAAAGAGGCTTCAAACCTCTTAAAGAGTAGGTGGCCGAGAAGTACTAATTTCGAAGAGGGTGGCGCGGGGCTCTCCTTTTGCGTTTGCACTTCACTTCTTTCTGGTTTCGTTTAATGGCAGCTCCACTGAGTTAGCATCGGCTTTTAAATGTGCGCCCGCCCCACCCTCTCTCTTTTTCTATCTGGTGCTTGTTTCTTTGCAGTGGTGTGTTGCTGCTATAAGCGGAGAAGCCAAGGGGTGGCATTACTCCAATCGATAAGTTCAATCATGGACGCCAACGAGGCGACGAGGATGGTGTTCTCCAAGATACAGAATCTGGACCCGGAGAACGCCCCCAGGATTATGGGCCTTCTCTTGCTGCAGGATGACGCCGAGAAGGAGGTCATTCGCTTGGCCTTCGGCCACGAAGCCCTCCTCCACGCCGTGGTGGTGAAGGCCAAGGAGGAGCTTGGCCTCGCTCCGCCACCCTCTGCCGGCGGCTCCGCAGCTCCCCCCTACCTCCTCCGTCTGAACTCCGCCAAGCGCCTGCTCGCCGTCTCGTCCCCTTCCTCGGGGGCCCCGAACTCTGTGTTCTCCCGCTCCGGCAGCAGTCTCGGTGACATTGGTTTGGATGGATCGTTGGAGCAACTCCAGAACTCCGACGAGCTCATAAGCCCCAGCAATTTCAGCTCGTCCCCATTCCATGGCAGCGGCGGCGACCACGTTCCGGACCAGCTATCCTTCCTCGGCGGCCCCGCCGCGGCCCCTAATTCCAGGTCATCGAAGCCCAGCAGCGGCGGCGACGTGATCCACCCGGGCGTCGGGTGCTGGAGCCCGCGAGGGAACGGTGACGGTTCGCTCTTCCCTTATGGGTTGGGATGGGGACTCGACGGCTACCAGCATCAGCGGAGCTGCTCCGCCGATGACGACCTCTTCCTCGGTGCCGCCCCCACACTGGAGTTCGGTTGGGATCCGTGCCTCTACTTCGCGAGAGGCTACTGCGAAAACGGGACAGCGTGTCGGTTCCTCCACGGGCTACCGGAGGAGGCCGCGGCGACCGCTGTCACCGGCGCCAAGTTGGATGCGGTGATGCAGCAGCGCCAGGAGCTTCTAATGAGATCAAAAAGCCAGAGGATGGGCGGCGCTTCGCATCTCATGGCCGCCGGGTTCCCATACTCGCCGACGGGTTCGGTGCGGACTTCTCCGTCATCCACCTCGAGCAAATTCCTGAGCTTCTTGCTTCAGCAGCAACAAAACGAGAGCCAAAGGTACCATCTTTCGTCCATCACGATGCTTGGAACCTCCTCCAATGTAGTGAAGCATGTATCTCAAATTGCCACAGGGCGGCAGCTGCGGCGGCGCTGATGCTGGGCGGGGACGAGGCAAATAAGTTGATGGGCGGATCAAGAATAGAAAGAAGCGATTTGCTGGGAAATCATGGTTCCAGGCAGATCTACTTGACCTTCCCCGCTGACAGCACGTTTCGGGAAGAGGACGTGTCCAACTACTTCAGGTAGGAGTTCACACTTATGGCACCGCCCTACTTTCCCCGCCTAAAGAATCTTTGATATCTGGCTAATGATTCTTGGTAGCATCTACGGGCCAGTGCAAGACGTGAGGATCCCCTACCAGCAGAAGAGGATGTTCGGCTTCGTGACCTTCGTCTACCCGGAGACCGTGAGGCTGATCTTGGCTAAGGGAAACCCACACTTCGTCTGCGATTCCCGGGTTCTCGTCAAGCCATATAAGGAGAAGGCAAAACTCGTCCCCGACAAGTACAACAGGCATTCCTCCGCCTCATGCCTTGACCAGAAGATCCTTTTTCTTTTCTGACTTCGTGTGTGCGCCAATGATCTCTTTTGCCCTCCACCACTGACTACAGGAAGCAGCAGCAGCAGCAGCAGCAGCAGGCTGAGAGGTGTACGACTTCTGCAGCCCTGGATGCTAGAGAAGCCTATGACCTTCACCAGCTTGGTTAGATCCTTGTTGCCATCTTCTGCTCTTTTGTCCTCCGTCTTCATCATTCAGTTGGCAGGTGCAAAGATGTTGTACAGCAGCACCAGCGAGGAGCTGCTGTGGAGAAGAAAGCTAGAAGAGCAGCAGCAAGCAGCGGAGCTGCAGCGGGCCATTGAGCTACAGGGGAGGCGATTCATGGGCCTCCAAATCCTTGACCTCAACAACCAAAGCTTCCCCACCTCAGCCACATCATCCTCCATCGACTCCCCCATCATCACCTCCGCTCAACCAATCAGTAATCTGGACAGAAGCAGTAGTCGGGTAGCGTCGCCAACCGAGGGTAAGCCATGATCGTTTACTTTCGTGTTTGGTCGAGCCTTCCGGCTGATTTTAACTTGACTGGTCGTGTAGCTGAGAGCCTCAGCATTGCAGAACCTGACGAGAAGGTTAATAGCTCCCCTGGATCTTTACTCAAGCAGCAGCACGAATCTGCCGATGAAGATGGTGACTCCCGTGGGAGGTAATTCGACAAACATAGGATTCGAATGTGCCGTCTGTTCATATAATTTTGCACATAACGTGCTCATGACATGGCTACAGGGCGGATCCTAACTTGCCCGACAGCCCATTTGCTTCACCCACCAAATCTTCCTCCATGCTCGACTCGTTCTCCACCGGCGAAGACATGACTACTTGCTGCATCGCAAACAATGGCAGCAGCGGCAACAACAGCTTCTTCACTTGACGTCCCCACCTCCGGTTCATACTTCTTCCAAACGCCGAGGTAAAAAAGCACCCCACCCGTCACTGAAAAAAGAAGCTTAGGGGACATAATGAGCCAAGTGTAAGCCTCATTGCCCGCCCCTTTTTTTTTTTGGTCACTTTCAAACTTTTGCCATGCCTCTTTTTTTTGTTTTTGAAACAGCAAAAGCAAAGTGACACGCAGGGCAGGGTGAAGTGGATTCCATGGATGGCCCAAAAGTCTATGGTTTCTTCTTTCTTTTCTTCTTATAGTTTTCCAGTGTAAGCTTTACAGGAAAACCTTCCCTTGCCATCGCTGATTTCGCCTGTACACCGGTTGCCATGACATCGTATCAGTAAGGAATACGAACCATGGGAATGCAGCTGGAACAATGGGGACTACGGCTCAATATAACTGGAAGTTCAATGTCATGCAGGTCCATTTCCACCAACATCAACACCAATATATCTGCAGATGTTGAAGCTATCGCTACGTCAAGACAGAAAGCCGGAACTGGTTTTGTCATGCAGGTCCATTTCCACCAACATCAACACCAATGTCATGTTTTGATATAGACACACCCAAAACATCAAGACAGAAAGCCGGAACTGGTTTCTAGGGGGGAAAATAGAAAGCAGGAGAGGTGAAGGACATGAAGAGACAGAAGAAAGAGATGAGAGCGGGTACATGCGTCATGCAGGTTCCTCTTCTGCCGCCGATGGTCTCTCTTTTTCTTTGATATAGACAGCGACAGATCCACCACAAGTTACTAATAACCTATAGATTACTTTTCTCCTTGTGGTGACGTTTGTTAGTCACCAGTACTAGTTTTACAAACTGATGGCAACTGAAATGAGAAACTCTTATCGAACTATGGGTCTTGCAGGACAAAGGAAGCAGAGGAACTGCCCTGGTGCTCCAACTAAAAAAACAACAAAAAAACAAAACACTCGACCATTGCTGTTATCATATCACCAGAAAAAGTAATGCAGATAGGTGCAGATCATGTTGGTACTGAATTGTGCAGATCATGTTGAGACAAAAAAAGAATATAGTAAATGGATAGAAGAAAAAGATCAGAGAGATTGTGCACCATTATTAAGCAAAAGAAAAAGCAGAACGAAATGAATTGCCAGAGAAACATTTTGGTACTATAACTCCGCTGATAATGCCAGAGAAACATTTTAACACCTCCGCTGATAATGCTGCAAAAGAAAGAAGGCAGACCAAACAATTCTTCAATTCAGACCAAACGGTGTATAACTCCAAAAAATTTCCAGCAGTACACACAACAACTAGAATAACATTTCAAGTGGCATATATCCAAAACATTCAGATAGGATTGGAGACAGAAGGTAATAGCATAACTTAATTAAGCGCAAAATCCACCTAAAACAACAAACTGTAAGATCCCAGCTATTTGGCTTGAGTCACTCTTTCCACCATTTCTTCCCAAACCAGAGTTTATTTTTTACCCTTTACAATAGTGGTTAGATAAGATATGCACAAGCATGCAGTTTTGTAAGGGGTGCATACACAGTACATGTGCACAAAATAAGCAGCAAAGTTTAAAAACTGTGCCAATGTAATTGTCAGGCTGACTACAACCATACTATTCTATAACCTGTAATAGGAATTAACCACCCCCATAGTAAGAAAAAGACATGCAGTTTAATTTGCTTAATCTGATACACCATATTAGAACAGTCCACACAACAACATAAAGGTAGTGACACTTCTTTTCTTTTATGGTTGTCCTCCCAACGCCTGTATGAATGCTGTAAAACCTACTACACGTTTCAATTAAGAAAAAACACTGCTTAAAATTTCTGCTTGTAGTCCAATAGGTCAGTGAGCTTCAAGTACAGGAGGTGAATTCATATCCTACCTATATGAGTCAAGTCCTACATCTAAACATTCGACTGCAAGGAAAACTGTGACCAAGTTGGTAAAAACTGGGAACACTGACTGCTATGTATAAAAATGAATAGATTGGATCAATTTATTCTAACAGTAACAAGATATGTTTTACATAGGCAAACTTTTAGGCTAGGTGAGGGCGATCAGAAGGAAGTATGGGTTTCTTCTCGACAGCCTCATAGTGCAAAACAAAGTTCTCCTGCAACCCAACAAGAAGAGACACTCAGTAATTGACAACAATAACAACAGAATGCTTGATTGGATTGTTTCAAACCTTCAGAATTGTTCCCCATGTGTTAGGATCAAAACAAACGTAGGTTCCTCTTTCATATGTGAGAGTCTTAACAAGAGGTTCCACGTTTGGAACTCTTGTGAACCACAACTGATGCTCTTTGTGGTACAGCCATCCACGAGCATATCTGCAAAGATATTCTGATGAGACACTTTAAAGACAATTAAACGCACATCAAGGCAAAGATAAAATTTAATAAAATTCCCAAGTCAAATGGAATCACAAGAAAACAAGCTGGAGATTGTATATTCATTTTAGCAGAAGGAAAACACATAAACAGCAAGACAGGCACTGCATAAACATAATCACTCAAGATCCTGTATGATTTGTTTGATAAGAAACAGTTAGCTCCATTTTCTTTTCTTTTTCTTTGTACATAGAAACAACCTCAAAAGACAACTGCATAACACCATCTGGTTCCTTCATGATAAAATGGTGCCAAATTAGCCACAGAGGGACCAATGTTCAAGAATAAACTTGGAAGATCAATTTTGGGAATGTCAACACAAATAATAGGGCTAGTTTCAGCAACTTGACAAAAAAATTAAAAAAAAAATACTTAGTTTGACTACCAAACCCAAAGGCAAAACCAGCAAGAAAGGCAGGCAACAGTGCTACCTAAATTGTACAAATATATAGAAAAAGACTCGACAACCTTCCAAACTGACACACACATGGAGCAAGGGACAGAGAGATTACAGTTCAGAAGCCGCATAGAGTTGAGCTTCATCCTTTGGCATACTGGAAGATGACAAAAAAGGGCCTTAAGTAACAGCGACTGTAAAGAAATACACACTAACAAAGAAGATGAAATACATACCTATAAAAGATGTAAAACAGTGTTGATACCTGAAATTTTGAAAAATGCCCTTGCTACATCCACAGTAACAGATCTAATAAGATGATATACTCAGTCTGTACATTCATATCTCACAAGAAAATAAAAGCTTACATGTAGAAGGGGTGGTGGTTTGGAATAATAACAAGTTGGAATGCAATAGTCAGGCTCTCCCTTGGCAGGCTCATCGGACCATGGAGAACCAAATGTTTTATAAAGATCCTCTGAAGAGTTTAAATTTAGTCCTAATGTAGTTAAATCAATTCCCAATGCAAGAGATGTCAGATCTGGATCATACATCCTAATAACACTTAACAAACCCTGCAAACCAAACCGATCAGGAGCTACTTGTGACCCTGTAGAGGACTTCAAGTTCTGATCTCTATATGACTGACTAACATCTGACATTGGCAGCCGAAAATGAGATTGACTTTGTGGATGCTGATACTGCTGAATGAGCTGCTCATATGCTGCTCCAACACCAGAAGCTGGAGTTGGAGAGCTCAGGGTTCTCAAACCAATGCTAGGGGCTCCACTGTTTTGAATCTGAACAAAGTCCATGGGAAACCTTTTTGTCAAGGACATTCACTTGAGAAATCCAAAGATTAAATGGTCTACTAGATAAATGCAATAGTCAGTAATAAACCTGTGAATGATACGTTCCATGAGAAGAAAAGAAGTCAGAGTCATGTAATCGAAGAAGATCTTGATTATTTCCAGGTGTAAAAGGTAAACCACCACCACCGGCTGAAGTAGAATGTTGTTGTTGCTGACGATTAGGTAGATAAGTTCCTCCCAAGCTAAACCCAACAGATCTTGACATCTACTTGATCACATACCAATACTCGATCTTGTCAAATTATTAAGGACATGTAAATCAAATAAATTCACCATGACTCGACTTACAGGTAAATTTTGTGGCTGCATTGTGGAAATATTTTCATGAAGTTGTTCCTTTTGATGCAAGTCCACGGAAAAGTCTGAACTACCACCTAAACAGGAACAAAAATGATACTAATTTAGCTAAGGTATTATTATTATTCTTTCTAAGGCCATGAAATATGAATAATCAAAGTCCAGAATAAGTTTAAATCAAATAATTCAACTTTGATTGAAATCCTCTCGCTTCTTTACAGTACTAAAGCCAAAGGATTTGAAATAACATCAAAAGCTGTTACATCATAGTGAGTGAAGATCAGACCCAGATGGATTATATTTCATTTATTGTTCCTATATGTACTTCTGATCTCCACCATTTTATAAATACATCGAAGTAAACATTTTAGAAATTCATCAAAGAACATGTTCTACCAGAATGACAATCAGATAAGATATAAAAACAGATTAAAGAAATAAAAATTGCTAAAAAGAGAAAACAAAGAAAGCAGAAAACAATGCAGAGAAAGTCCAGATGAAAAGAATCAGAACCTTTACTTCCTGGCAAAGCTGGAAAATCTTCATTTTGTATGCTAAATTCTTGACTTTGCTGGACAATGGAGCTAACACCTCCTTGCTTCCGTGTTGTACCTAAGAATTTACATATCACCTGATGCTCCATTCTAACAGACAAAATTTGGAGAAAATAAGCATGTCTATGAGACTCATTTACCTACCCAATTGCCCTTGTGGACCGCCGGCTGAACTTGGTCGTGAATTTAATTGAGGAAAATCACTCATATCAAAAGGAGAACTGTCAGCAACATTTAGATCGTTCAACACTCCCATAGAGCTTAATGGGTTATTCCCACCTGGACTTTGAGATAACTGTCCTCCAGATGTAGGATAAGAATTTCCAAGCATACCAATCATTTGTGGTGCTGATAATGATGTCAATGAAAAAAATCATACAGTTATTTTACAACTATAAATAGAAGCATGAATTTTGATGAGCAATTCATAATATTAAACATATAGTCCAAATCACAAAATGCATATGCATATACTCTGGTGCTACAGAAAAAAGACATTAGTTAAAATTCAGGACAAAAGGTTGCATAACTACAATTGATACAATCATTACAAGATGAATCAATAAACTAAAAGTACCTGTAAGACCAGTAACTGAAAATACAAATTCTGTGGTTCCTAGTAATGTCAATTAATCTTAGATTTGGATAGGACTTTTCTTCTAAGATAGGACTTTCCTTCTAAGATAGGACTTTCCTGCACAAATTTCACTCTCACAAGCATGATTCATTTCCCATGCATGAAGCAATGAAACAAGAAAGCTTCATGATCACTTCACAGCATGGTAAGCAAGCTACCACAAAGGATATTCAAGTGCTGCTGATGTTTCCTAATGTCTAAGCAAGAAACAAGAAAGCTTCCTGATCACTTCGCGGCATGACAACAGAAACATTGCTCTCACAAAAAGCTGTCTATTGGTGACAGAAACCTTAGATGCATTGGCAGTATGAACTGCAATAGTTAGAACTTTTACCTAGAGAACAGTAAACATTCATGTAACTTGCCACCAAATGATACTCAAACTGCAAAGAAGTTTTTCTTCCAAAATAGACAACACTAGTAGTCTAGTAGTGCACTAAGATAAGATTTTTAAATCATGTAAGGTCAAAGAGATTCAAGGAAATAATAAGAGCTACCCTGCTGAAGCATGCCACTGATCAGTCTGTTGGGTCCTTGTACACTGAGGCTTCCTGCTCCACTATTGGAAGCTAAGTTTATACGTGAAGCTAGTCCCGGAATGGATATTCCTCCAGAGCTAATGCTTCTTCCCATGTTACCAGCGCCAACAATGTTTCCCATAGAGTTTGGAATTCTTGGGCCTACATTACCCAATACTGGAGAAACTCCCAAGCCAGGGACCGAATTACGATTGCTAGTAGCA